CCTCAGCCAAACTGCCATATGTCATGAAACTTCAAGGTGTCTTGTAAACACCTCAAAAGAGAAATGTTAACTGCTTTTACCTTTAGAAGCACCACTATTTACATTACAGCTTCAAACGTCTACATCTACTGTTCCCATTTTAAAGCCCCTTGCAAAGTAGCTGAAATGAAAGAATGTAAACTTAAAATACATCCAGGGAATTTAGGGGTTAACCATGCAGCCTGTACTTGGCCCTTAAATTAAGACAGGCAAGTTGATTTGACATGGCCTCAGATTCTGTTCCTATTATTGAAGTGGTTAAAAAAAAAGGGAGGGACATGAGAAACTTGTGATCAAGTATAAGCAGAAACTTACCATATTTCTCAGCTTTTATGTGTATAAGAAAGATATGTTCCTGGTTTCCTTCTGTAAAATAGGCTTCAACAAAAATTAGATGAGAATATAAGGAGAAGGAGTCTAAAGAAACAAATGTGGAAGAGATGTGTCGTTAGCCCTCATTGTATTGAAAATCCAAAGGGACTTAAAATCCAGGTCCTGTGAACGCATGCATTCATTTAAAAACAACAGGATAGTTTCCTGTGACAACTGAGTTTGGGCCTCAGATGAATAAACCTTACTCATTCTTTATACCTGGAACTCCCCAGATTGAAAACCAGAGAGCCAAAGAGGAGATACCAATGTGTTCAGATTAAAACTCATCCAGTAAGACTTCGACATTCCATTTTTCACCAATGAGTATCTCTGTCTTCTCTGACTACTTAGCTTTCGCCAAAGTGAGTAAACACTGACTTCCTGAGAATGTGTAGGTGGAAGGAGGCAATAGAGTCATCATCACTCAGAATGTTGACACTGTTTTAATCACTTAACATATATTTTTAGGCAGATATTTTGGTTGAGAGAGAGGAAATGTATGGTACCTAACAGCATGAGTCCTGAGACAGATGACCAGGTTTGACTCCCAGCTCCATCACTTGGTAGCTGTGTGACTTTGGGCCAATTTAGTTCATCCTGTACCTCCATTTCCTCATTTGTAAAATGGGGATAATATTTCCTACCTCATAGGGTGTGGTGAGACTTAAATGAGTTAATACATCGAAAGCACTTATCACAATGACTGATATGTATTAAGTGCTCAATAAATATTAGTTCTTACTCCAATCCCTTTCCCTCATACCCATGTTTTTTTACTGGCAGTCTGGAGTCTGTATAGCTGACTACTTTCCCACACATGGGGGTGTATTTACTTTTCTCAGCCAGTCAAAAGATACCACCACTTCTCTGGCTAGTGACTGATTTAGGAATGAGCAGATGGTACAATTCTGTCCAATGAAACGTACTTTTCTGTGGTGTTCAGGGAAGGTTTCTTCCCAAAAGATGTGCATTGGAAAAAATGTTTCTTTTCTGTTTCTAGTGATACTGTTTCTGCATGTGTACCTGCCTGTAATTGCAGAGCCATCTCGGCACTGTAAAGGGAGCTGGAAGAAGGGTGGCAACATAATAACATTGTTGAGTTGAAGAATTAATGAACCCTGAAATTCCTACCTCTGGACTTGATCTATAAAATAATAAATTTTTCTTATTGCTTAAGTCATTTTGAGTAGGGTTTTATTACTGTACTTGAAAACACCTTGACTGATTGATATTTCTTGAGCGTCTAGTATGTTCAAGATATTATAGGAACTACAAAGTATAAAACCCAAAACCTGATCTTGACAAGTTTTTCAGCTACTTGGGGGAGATAGCTGTGGAAAGAAAACTAATTTACTGCTACCAAGCAGTAAATATTAAATGCTTGGATTGGGTAGTCTGAGGAAGCAATACAGGAGGTTATATATGAAGAGAGGGCTCAAAGAATAAGGAAAACAGTGGGCAGTAGAGAGAAGGAACATTCTAGGTAGGGGAACATTCCAGCTAGTATAAACAAATGAGAAGGAGAGTTAGGGATTGTATTAGTTTGCTAGGGGTGCCATAACAAAATACCACAAACTGGGTGGCTTAAGCAACAGAAAGTTATTTCTCATAGTTCTGGGGGTAGAAATCCAAGATCAAGAAGTCAGCAGGTTAATATCATTCTGAGGTCTCTCTCCTTAGTTTGCAAATGGCGACCTTTCTGCTGTGTCCTTGCATGGTCTTTTATCGGCACAGGTGCATCCCTGTGGTCCCTTTGTGTGTCCCAATTTCTTCGTATAAGAACAGCAATCAGATTGGATTAGGGCCACCTTAACAGCCTTATTTTAACTTAATCACCTCTTTAAAGGCCCTCTCTCCAAATACATTTACATTCTGAGGTACTGGGGGTTAGAACTTCAACATATGAATTTTGAGGAGACAAAATTAAGCCCATAACAGGAACAACAATAACACTCGTTTAAGAGTGAGTCAAAGGTTAGAGATGATTGAGAGAAGCTGGAAGGTTATGTTAGGACTAGAGAGTAGGGGGCCTTGAATGTTGGGCCTGGATTTTACTTTTGAAACAGCAGCAAGGAAGTAAAATAGATCTTTAAGAATATTTTGGCACAGTGTGCCGCAGGTTTTTATAAGAACTGGGGTGAGAGAAATGGGATGGAATTACTGTTGCACATAGTCTAGCCATGCACTGATATAGGGCGGAACCCAGGAGGGGAAGTTGGAGGGACTGAATGAAAGAGGAACTGAAGAGAAAAGGACAAGATGTATGCTTGGACATTACCAGCAATCAGGCCAGCGGAAGCTTGAACCATAAGTATTCAAGTCTTAAAAGGAAGTGTTATTCTGTAATTTTTATTACAGGATTGTGAGGCCTGGACATTGGGGCTTCAGCTTTCTACTATTTAGGACTACCTGTCTGAAAGGGAATAGGCTTCCTTGCTGAGTACGGAGTATCCTGGAGGTGTTCAAGAAGTTAGTTTTATAGAAAGGATGCAAATATCGGGCAGAATATTGGCTTATTAGATATTCCTGGAGGTTCCTTATATGACTTAGGGTCAGAAGTTTGAGGGCTTCATTTAAAATAGGCAAAACATCTAGCAAACATTCCAAATTACCCAGTCTTACAGGGATGATCTGGGATAAAACTGCTTTCTGGACCCCATCTCTGATTGGAGTAGACCCTTTTGCTGTATAGTTTGGGCAATGTATAGTATGTCTCTGGGCACTAGGTACTATGTCAGTTTCCAGTTGGTATATAAAATTTTAAACAAGCTTGGAAAATTAAGTTTAAGAATTTGATCACTAAAATGAAAACTTAAGAATTGCAAGATTTCTTTTCTAAGTATAAACTTAGAATGTACGACTTTTGTAAATTATAATCACTAAATAAAATAACTGCTTTTTAAGTTATTCTTTAAAAATTTTTTTTTTTTATTACAGAAGAAATGTATGTGTGTGTGTGTTTAAACTGAAGGTAAACTGCTAAATTATCCTTCCACCAGGAATTAAAAAGCACAAATTAGCAGTTACAAGATAGTCATGGAGATATAAAACACGTTCAGGGAATGTAGTCAATAAGATTGTAATAACTATGTATGTATCAGGTGGGTATTAGCTTATTGTGGTGAACATGTCCTAAGTTATATAAATGTCTAATCACTATGTTGTACACCTGACACTAGTATGTCAACTGTAATTTAAAAATAAAATTTAAAAAAGTGTCCTTAAGAACTAGCACTGCATAGTTTTATTTGTAGCATTCCAGACCTTTTACTCAACATACTCTTACACCTCCCACTTATAAATACAAATACCCATTTCTTAGTTTATATATAGCATACAGAATATAAATACATGTATGACTATATATATTATACATGCACTCAAATGCATATCATTTTTAACACAAGTATTTGTTTTAAACATTGTCTAACCATTTGCATGTTTCCATTTATTTATATATAATTTCCATGTTAGTATATATTCCCAAATGGCCCATGTTTTAAATATCTCCTTAAATAATAAAAGCCAAACAAACCACCTCATGTAGATTATTCAAGAATTAGACAAATAGGCTAGTCTCAGAAAATGATAATGAAATAAAATTCTTATCAGTTCTCAAACATTACAATTTATAGGGTCATTCTATCCTGAATGTTTTCAAGGGACTCTCAAAAGAAAAAAAACGATTTATCTTTATACTTTTATTAATAGGCAAATCTTTCCAGGTGCTTTCTTTTCAGATATTTAACCTTTTTATATGAACAGAAAGAACACACAGTACCAGTTTTAAAATTTGCCAAAGGGTATATGTACTTAAAAGCCTTCCTTGCCTCTCAGCTCCCCAGCCCCATAATTTTTCTCTTCATAGGTAACTATTAAACAGTTTCTTATATATTCTAAGGATTTTAAGATTCTATACATTTAAAATAAGAAAATATCGAAAAAGCAACACCATTTAATTCTATCTTCTCCCTCCAAAATTCTAGCACATGCTAGAGTAATTTTTATTGCAATTTTGGCTTCCCCATCCAAATGAGAGAGAAGGGACAGAATTAGGCCACAGAGGAAAGAAGCTTATTTGGGAGCCTGGGGTGAAGATGAATAAGAATAACATGGCTATCAAAGGATTAAGACAAACCTTTGAGAAAATATATAAAGTTCTTTAATATATTTCTTTCTTAAAAAAAAAGAAAAAACTATGAAAATGTAGCAAAAGTCATAGGTGAAGTACATCCTATTTAAAATAATCAGCCCCCAAATCAACAGTTCATTCATTTTTTGTTCTAAGACTCATCACACTTACAATTCTATCTATGCTACATTTTATGAAACTTAAAATAAACCTCTTTCATAATTTTAAATTTTGATTTCAGGATACATTTCAAATTAAATGGAGGAAAGATACTGAGACTTTAAGTTCCTGTTTTAAGTAAATTCACTTTACCCAGGCCTTTCTCGGACTAATCACCACTCTTATTTGTATCTTTATTTCCCTTAAGGAATAACTATTATTTATACTAAGGTAGAGGTGTTGATTGAAAGATTAGTTTTAAGTTTCTATTTGTAAAACGAAAGCCAGAGAGTCAATATGGTTTACTTCAAAACTGCCTTTATTTGAAGAGTTATAAGTGTGTGTTCAAATTGGCCCATCAGATCACAGAACATGAAATGTGAATGTTAGTTAATAATATGAACAAATATCTAATAAATTCTTAAGAAAACAAGGCCTTAGAATGTTAGCTCCTCACATTCCACGTAGAACTTCCAATGCTGATCCATTATATGGCAGGGGAGAAATTCTTGATCACTGACTAATAGGATCTCATTTATTTGTAGATAAGGTGGGATGCCTTGCATTGACTCTCTGGAAGTTCCTGTTTAAAGAAGTGCCAACAAATTAAAAATTGCCTTTAAAAAAATAAGATTTAAATTTACTTACTGCAAATCCTAGACCTTAGTCAAGTCAATGAGCACATGTAACAGGCTTTCTGACCAGGTCGTTCTTCACTCACTGCATTTTCTATACTCGAGATAAGCTGTAAGTCAGTTCTGGCTGATCTTGGAAGAAGAAGCCTGTTTGTAGTCTAAGAGTCAGTGATCTGAAAGCTGGTTTCTTCAACCTCCCTGGCATCTCAGAGACTCCTTTCTCACAGGGCCGTATGAGCTGTACATCATTCAGCAAACAGAATTTTATTCCACAGATAACACCAGTATGAGTATGGCTTTTGCCAGGCAGTTTCTGTTAGACATGCCATACAGTCCAACAGCTTTGTTCGTAATTCTAAACAATACATATCCTTCTGTAATTTCTTTCTGCGTTCTAATAACATCACACAGTTGCCTATCATATCACAAAACATGGTATTAAGACCATTTCTTACTTTTCAATACCTTACTCTTTGCACAACCATATGAGACAAGAATCTAATTATTTAGAAAACAGATTTAGATTTTATTTTCTTGATTTAATAATTCACTTATATTACTCACTGTTATTTAATAGGTTGCACAAAATACAGACACTTAAATATAACAAAAAATTGAACAAAAGTTTCCCCAGCAATCCAGTCTACGCTCTTACTTCAAGCCTCACTACTCCCATCAAGCTGTGGGCCAGTGAGGAGAGATGGGAACAGGTAAAAGGACTGTAAGAAGGACACACTTGGGAGATCTGCTTCCGAACTGAAAGCTCCCGAACACCGAAGTTTTGCTTCCAGTCTAGCCCTGACAGTCATGTTGGGGGTAAGGAGTTGAGAGAGAGAAGGAAGCAGCACATTTCAGATATCTCATGTAAAATGTTTAAATTAAATATCCTTCATAGGAGATGATTTTACTCAGGGTCCACCAGTAATTGTTGCCAGTCTATGGAAAAATCTTAGAAAAACTAAGCTGTTGTGATCTTCAGAAATATGAACTGACAGGTAAAACACTGTAATATCAGGAATACACAGACACATATAGACTTAAGCACCCTGGAAATATCTACCGTTTATTTTTTCCAGTCCTCACTGTGGAGAGGATTAAGTGGAATAATGCTTGGGTATCTAGTTCTGCTTAAGGAGCCAGACATCTCCTGGCTCTAGAGCCTAAAAGAAATGAGAACTAAGAAGATTAATAAAGAAGCTCTATCACTGAAAGAATTTTTGTGAATGAGAAATCAGAATTCTGAGAAATAGTACCTTAACCCCTTCTTTGGTCAAGTGATTATCATCATCTTTGCAGTGATAGCCATGAAATCTACCTGTAGCTTTGTGACAAAAACTTTTTCCACCAGGAACTGTGAAGACCACCAATCTACCCTGCTGAGGGGTAGAAGCGCTTCTCCCTTTAATTTTCACTTTTATTTGAGATAGATTCCCTAGGCAAAAGTCAGTGGCCTGAGATCCGTAATCAAAATTTCTAAACAGTAGCATATTTAACAGGCCAGTACAACTGAGAAAATAGCCTTTTATGTGGATATTTGTCGCCCTTCTTGTCGTCCTTCATCTCTAACAAGAATTGCACACAGCTAAGGAACCATTCTGCTCATGCATGAGGTAAGGAAAAATAAATCTTCCTCAAGTAGTACCACCAAATACTGGCTATTCTGCACAAGTATACTTAAACTGAATTGCTAGATTCATTACCAGGCAAAAGAGAGGGCTCATGCAACCATTCATGTTAGCTAGTTGCCCAAATTAGCACTTCAAAATGACAAGTTAATAAGGGTAAAAATAATTTTAACTTTTATTCCTCTTTTTCCTCTAATTAAATAAATTTTTTTTCCTTTACTAGATCAAAAATAAGAATAATCAGATTCATTATTTTAACTGATAGTTCACCTCTGAAACATCACTAACCCATGTACTCTTTCATTGAACCCATTTTACCTCTCTGGTTCTTAGTTTCATCATCTGTAAAACAAGCCCAAGACTAGTTGCTATATAAGGTTCACTTCTAACACTAAAATTATTGAACTCAGACTTCCAGAACTTACTCTTACAAACTAAGTATTCTACATTTTGTTAGAATTATGAGATGAAACTTTGCTACTCTAGTTATAAATGGAAATGAACATTTACATATACATTCTCATTCTGAATTAGAAATGTAATTCCCATCAAAGGCCAAATAATTAAGAATTATTTTAATAGATTGTAAAAATATGATTGAGGAAAACTGTATCATAGCTATTTAAATACAAAGTTCAATGCCTTTTAAAAATAAAGGATCCTAAAGGATAAAAATGGTGGTGGAGTGTTATACGGTTTGATATTTATTAATGAATAATTTTATATATTCATTGGTAAGATCAAAAGCCATCTGTGAGGCTGTACTGGAATCAAGAAATAAAGTCGAACACGACATTTTGAATTTTAAAACTATTTAAGCCCTCATTATTTGGGGAAAATTAAAATTTAAGAGGTGGTTCCTTAAGCTGCATTGGGTTTGAGGTACTTGATTTTATACATAAAGTGTGCAGGGTTTTTTGTGTCTTTGTTGTATAAACATGAACCCTGGAGTTCTTCTAAAAAGCAGCTCCTAAATGGCCTAATGTTTGTAAAATAATCTGGCAGACGGCCTGGCACATGGCAGGTGCTCAACAGACAATTTTCTTCTCTTTCCTCCCTTATCAGTAGCTGTTTCCTTCACTTTATGAATTAGGTCAAAAGAGTGTTAATCACAATGCCAGTATGAAAAACTTATGATAAAAATAATGAAAAAGAATCGAGAGTTGTAAACAGCAGCTGAAATAAACATCCTCTGTTCTGTTATCAGGCACCCATCTTCCTTGGGTGTTTAAGGTTTAAGAAGTTCTTAACCACTTAAAACAGAAGCACCTGTGAATGTTTGTTCTCTAGTACATATACTTTTACAGAGAAATAAAGCACAATAACAGCATTGAAATTACGAAAACTCTTTAAAGTCATTCATTTACAACAGGTTACCAATAAGTTAAGGATTATTTTCATGAAAAACAAAAGAGTATTTTTTTCCTGAAAAAGCATATTAATTTTCAAATGAACAAATGATGTTAGGTCCCCATGAAGGAAAATGCTATAATTAGTGTGCATTAAATAATGGTTGAAGAAAAGAGAGATTTCAGATACTTCTTTTTTCTTAGATGAATACATTTAGCTTAATGTGTTTCGAGTGTGTTAATAATCTGGTGACAGGGGACATAAACATATAAAATTGGCTTTCCAGGTAAATAATAAAATGTGATCTAACTTAACAGAATACTTTTAAAAAGAACTTTAAGAAAAATATATTGATATATCTGTACAGAGTGATCACAAACTATGCAGAAGTTTAGGAATATCCATTTTTCCACTTCCTCATTATACTTTATCAGTGGAGATTCCCTCATTAACACAGAAGAAGGGACTACAGCCAAGCAGGCAGAGAGGAGAGAGGCTTGGGATGAAGCTGTAAAATTTCAAAGGAAAATGCACCGTAGACTCCCTCCATTTTAAAGCTTAAAAACAACGTTACAGAAAGATACTTCAAGGATTTATTTCATCACCAGAATTTCATTTTTAAAGGCTTATGTTTGTATGTTTAAATCTTTAGTTAGAAATAACATATGCCCTCAAATTTGTTAACATACCACATTTTAACACTCAAGTCCATCAATACATTGACTTGAGTTACCAATTTAACTAGTTTTTGTGTGGAACTCAGAATAAACCTCTTCGGTTATCTATGATTCATTTAAGAAAGTCTTATAATGGCAAGATTAAAAACTTATCATCTATCTTCATAACTCAGGATTTTCTTGATACCGTGAATCTAAAATAACATGTAGAAATAAAGTGGATATTGAGGTTGCTGCTATTTGTTTCACGAAATGTCAATATATATTATCTGATTAAATAATTTTAGGAAACGTTGGTTAACAAAGTTAAATGTATTTCTTTATGACTTCTCATAAAGAGGGGGAGGAGGAGGGAGAGAGAGTTCTCTTAAATTTCTGGTTGAGAAGATGTGAAGGGCCAGCACTCATATCTCACAATTAGATACAGAAAATTCAGATAAAGGAGACAATATTAACTAATCAAAATCCCATTTACTATTTGTTGAATTCTTCACCACAAATTCCATTACAGCCTGTGAGATCTAGTCATGTCCACCTATTAAGACAGTCGATCATGAGTAAATCCAGTTTTACAATAACAGTCCTTTGGACCATATTCATGCTTCCATTCATTCATGCATTCATTTGGTGAACATTATTCAGTGAATATTTACTGGGAAGCTACTGTGTGCCCAGCACTGGGGAATATAATAGGAAGCAAGATCCCATAATAGTCTCTCTAAGCTCAAAGATCTCAGTTTATCCAGGGATTAAAAGTAGGTAATCAGCAATTATTTATAATATAGAGTGATATGCATTTGATATATAAGCTTTGACCCTCTATTTGCACAGTAGTATGTTAAAATCTATATGCTTTTTATTAAAGTAAATGAAATTGAAAAGTTTCCCTCCTTTTCTTAAAAAAAAAAAAAAAAAAAAACCCCTTGTCCAAATTCCATTTTTTTCCAACACCTATTTGCTTGATTCCTGTACTGGGTCACATAAACAACGCACACCTTAAAGTGAAAAGGAGTGCTACTAATAATTTTGCTGGGTTAGAGACTTCCCTGGTCAAACTGGAATGCATGGCGATCCTAGTTATGGGGAATGTAAATGGCTCTCCCTAGTCTCCTTATTCCCCAAAAAACAACTATTCTGAAGTGAATGATCATCAAAAGTGTAAGAGAACTGATTGGGTTTATGACCTGAAGTTGGCCGATGAAATCCATACGGACTTATTTTCCCTGCAGAGCCATGACTTCCATGACTACATTCTGATATGCGAAAGAGGGGAAAAGATTCTCTCCTGAATGCTTTGCTTGTAATAGGGTTAGAGAGTTTACATTTTTCTAACTTGCCAGGTCTTTGGTACCACAAAACCAGGTACAAAAAAAGCCTAAATCAAAAAGATTCAAATAAAACTCCAACCACAGCCTACAGAAAGCCAGCAGGGACATGCCTGTAGATTCCTAGTTCCAGATGTAGGTAGCAATGAGCTGGTTGGCATACTGGCATCTCTACAGTTCTCAAATTAGCAGTAATATTTTTTTGAAATATCTGAAGGAAAGAAAATACAGAATTTCTTCAAAGAAATTAGTAACAAGGAACTGTTTATATTTGCAGAAAACAGAAGTATCAGTTCAGAAACCATTTTTTATTTTATGCTCACTTAACAGGGTAATTATGAGCCTTCTGAAGAAGGCTAGAGTTGGAAATGCCTGCCTAGAATTAGAATATCTGAGGAACAGATAATCTTTGTGATATAAGGAAGAACCTACATTTCTGCTTTGACTCGAGGTTAGAATCTAGGAGGAGAAAGAGTTTGCTTGGCTTTCCTTCAATTGTGGTTGTGCGTGCGTGCATGTGTGTGTGTGTGTGTGTGTGTGTGTGTGTGTGTGTGTGTGTGTGTCTGTCTGTCTGTCTGTTTGAGGGAGAGGGAGAAGGAGAGGGGGAGGAAGAGGGGGAGAGGGAGAGAGGGGGAAGAGAAAGAGGGAGAGGAGGAGAGAAAGCAACAGGGTGTGCTTTGGCATCAAAGTGATGGGCTGAATATATCAAGAGTTTTCAAATTATTATCTGCATAACGAATCAGACACTACTAGTCATTCAAAGTCTATAGTCAGGCTGGCTGTATATGAATCACTTTAAAAATTTAGGTCCCTGGACCCTACTCCAAGATTTGATTAGGAGATCTACATTCAAAGTTAGGATTCAAAGCCCATGAATTGTTACAAAAACTCCTTTCAGTCTTTTAAGCCCTGTAACTTCCCCACAATTGTTTTAACAGATCTGTTTCCCCCAAATGATAAAAAGCACATTTGAGGCTGTCTTCAAAAACTGGGGAAAATGCATCGTATTCTGAAGCCAGTTCTGGAGACAAAGAAGGACCCTAAGAAGTTAGGGTGGACTAGGTATCAAATCAGGAGAGGAAAGTACTTTGAATTATTGGAGTTTGCTGTAAGAAAGGGAAAAACCTTGGTGATAGTAATCCCTGTTTGGTTCTTGACTCTGGTTATCACAATATTATCATTTTCTTTTCTCTACTTCCTCTCTGCTTATATTATCCCCTGCTAGTATGAGACAGGGACACTGGGAAAAAAACAGGAGGTGCTATAACAGAGAAAAGCAATATAATATTAGTTATATCTGTTTTTCGAAAATGTGAGCTGCCCCTTCCAAGGTCATTTCAAAATCTGCTAATTGGTGAAGATTCCATTCTCTTCAGTTTTCTTAGGCTAAGGTTTATTTCATCAGATACAGTATATTCATTGATACTAATAAGCAGATTTATTTTAGTATGCTTTTAGAAAATATGGGAAACCAAATCATGCCTGGAGGAAGGAAAAAATGCCATTTTTCTACCTTTATGTGACACTTAAAAAAAAAATCTACCCAAAGTAAGTACAGCATATATCCAGAGAAAAAAATTGTGACAGAAAGTGAAATTTCTTAAAATTCTCTTGGAATCAATTGTGGTTAAAAATGGAGTGCTGTGAACAAACAATAAATAACAAATGTTGGTGGGGATATGGAGAAACTGCAATCCTTACACTACTGGTGGGAATGTAAAATGGTTCGGTTGCTGTGGAAAAGTTTGTTCTTCAAAAAGTTAAACATATAATTACTATAGAATATAGCAATGCTAGGTATATACCCAAAATAACTGAAAACAGGTACCTAGAAAAATATGTATACATGTGTTCATAGCAACACTATCCCCAAGAGCCAAAAAGTGGAAATAACTCAAATGTCCATCAAAGAATGAATGACTTAACAAATTGTGGTGTGTGTATATATACATATACATATATATAATGTATGTTGTTGTTTTTTTTTAATTCTAGGGTACATGTACTGAAAAAAAAAAACAGAACAAGAAAATCAGTTCAGGGGGGCTTTTTTCTACACAATCATACCCAGGCTTTCCTGTAGCATGCTGCTAAGCAATTCTCTGTCTAACCAGTCACATAAGATAACTGAACGGTGATCTTATATATACACAAACAAATTGTGGTATGTGTATATATATGTACATATATATACATACACGCACATACATACATACACAATGGAATATTATTGAGCCATAAAGAGGAATGAAATGCTGATAGATGTTACAATGTAGATGATTCTTGAAAGCATTATGCTAAGAAAAAGATGCTAGACACAAAAGATTATATACTGTATGATTTCATTTATATGAAATATTCAGAACAGGCAAATCCATAAAGATAGAAAGCAGACTGGCAGTTCCCAGGGACTGAAGGGAGTAACTGCTGAATGAGGTTTCTTTTGGGGGTGGTAAAAGTATTTCGGAATGACCTAGAGGTAGTGGTGGTACCACACTGTGAAAGTACTAAATACCACTGATTCGTTTATGTTATTTGGCTGTTATGTGAATTTCACCTGAAAGGAAAAAAAAAGACCAAAAAAAAAAAAAAATGAAGCACTTTCCTAGTAGGTTTGGGCGTGTTTTCCCCATTACAAAGAAATGGGTGTTGGTCTGCACATACCTGGAAGACACGGCTGATGTTCCTGAGGTACTAAGTTTGGTTCTGGAGGTATGGGAACTTCCTCGGAAACATACTTCAAAAGCTCCTTCCCCATATACGTTATCTGCACATAATTAAACACAGAATTTAAAAATCATATATTTTATAAGAAGCAAATTGTAACTTTGGTAAAGTACTGATTATTGTATATAATGGACTGGCAAAATATAGCCCACAGCTGAATATGGGTTACCACCCTTTTTTGTAAATAATGTTTTATTAGAACACAGTGATACCCATTCATTTACTTCATATCTATGGCTGCTTTCTGCTACAACAGGATTGAGTAGTTGAAACAGAGACCATATACTCATGAGGATTTAAATATTTATTATCTGGCTCTTTACAGAAAAAATTTGTTGACTCATTGTATATTATTAATTCTCTCATCCATTTACTTACTCAACCATCATTAATCTAGAACTTGCTACTTTACAACTTTAAAAGATTAATGTCGCATTAATAAAATTAAGCCATAAAAGTACTGGTACTTTTCAAAAATCAAATACTTAACTGATTAGATTAATAACATTTTGGGTCTATATATCCAAGTTTTTTGTTTTGGTTTGTTTGTGAACATAGCTATTATTTGTCAGCCCAAAAGATTAGAGCTTAGAAATATCTACACATGAATGGGCTGGACTGAGGCAGACTGGCAAACATCTGCCAGAAATGTTCTAGGCCTGAGTGTCCTTGGGTTCTCCACTCAGTTCTAGGGCACTCTGATAATATACCCCCAGAAGCTAAGTGCACTGTAGCTAAACCATCATGTCTCAGTTTGAATATCCTTTCCTCCAGGAAGCCTTCATAGAACATTTAAGTTCAAGTAATGACCCTCCTTGTCTAGGCTCCCATAACTTTTGTGTTCATATTTCTGTCAAGGCACTTGATATATTTAAATGAAATTATGTGTTAATGTATCTGTTTCCATTAAAATATAAGCTCCTTGAGGCCAGGGTCTGTGTCATATTCATTTTTATACTCCAGCGCTTCACATAGTGCCTGATAATACTGGAAAAAAACTCTGAAATCCCAGCTCTTAAGCAAGATTCTTAAATTCTGAGTCTCAGTTTGTGCATTTGTAAAGAAAGTACCTCCGTCTTATTAAGTTGTGAGGATTAAAAGAGTTAACAGAGGAAAAGCATTTGGCATACTGCCTAGCACATCCTAAGTGCTCAATAAATGCTTGTTATTGAACAGAGCAAGGAAGGCCAAGGGGATCTGGAAGGGTTAGGCACCCTTTGAGCTCAATCCCAAACAAAGACTAGATGTAAATGAAACAGCTCTGGCCTACTCAGTGTGCTAACCCCTCCTCACGTGCCAGGGAAGAAAGAGAGACAAGGCCCCTGAATGTCATCTGTCAGTTCTCCAAATAACTATCAATTAGAAAACAATAAAATTTTGTTCACATTATACTTTGACGATATCCAATACACCTTAAGCGCTCATCAATGTGCAGGCTCGGTATGTTTTTACCTATATCTCAGAGTACATTTTTATCAGTTAGTGCTGGGTAACATAAGGTAGTAAAATTGTACCTTAGTAGCTTTGGAGATCTTAAGCATACTACTGGGGTAATCCAGACATACAAAGAACATAACAAAGCTTTAAGAAAATCCACTGAGTTAAAAATCTATTTTCCACATGGCAGGAATAATTTATTGAACAAGGATAGTAATGAATAGATCTCTAAATGAACAGGCACTAGGTTAATTCTGGAAACTGTCCATTTCATAATAGTGCTCATGCTCCAGTTGGCTAAAGCACGTAGGCAAACAGTCCTCCCATCTGCCTATGACTCAAATTCTGATTCCTGGACTAAATCTCATTAGATGCAAATCTAAATCAGAACCTATGGGGCTGGGGTCCACCAGGCATTGGTAGTGTTTAAAGGCTTCCCAAGTGATTTTAACATGTAGCCAGGATTGAAAACCATTGCCCTCATCATATAATTTATCGAGGGTGGAATCTGGAACAAGCTTAATCTCCTGTCTCCTACCCAGAGATCTCTCTGTCACCTCAGGATGATGCCTAATAGCTAGGAGACTGTGGCAGTGAGAACAAATAGTGATGCCATAGCATCAGGATTTCCTTGCTAAAAGCCCAACTGCTTGGGTAGGAAGTATGAGTCATCTCTGTGTCTAGTGGCCCTGTCATTCTGTCTGATGCAGGACAAGACCCAGTTTTCTGGCATTTCTTGCCTGACAACCAACCACTCCTGGCTCCATAGCCACACCAACATTCTTAGAACTAGTCAGTAGAAATGTTTACATTTGCCAATGTAAAAAAAGCTCCTTTCATGATGAAGTGACTGTGAATTCAGGAGTTACCCCAAGACAAGAGGAGGTAGAGGCAGTTTCTGTAGTAAACTTTAAAAGAGGCTTTTAAATATTGTAAAGAAACTCATTGGGGTAGTGTTTCTCAGCCTGGAGTATTTAATAAGAGTACGTACACAGCCTATAGTAATTTTAAACACTGTTTCTGTTTTGGGGATAATTTTTAAAAATCTAATCCTTTTCAGATAATATGTATGAATATCTTATATCCCAGAATTGCCCTAATTTTACTTCCCACATTGCATTTGGCCTCACTATCACATAGGTGTTAAGCAATATAACTTTAATTGACATGGTGATGAGAAAAGACCAGAGGCAATGTGATAATGCAAATGAGGCACAAGTACAGAGTAAGAGCCAAATGATGTCACAGCCAACTATTCAAAAGCAGGAAATGCAGTAGTTCCAGTAGAGAAAAAGGGTGGGAGACCTGAGTCAACTCTAGGCACACTGAAGCAGAGGCATGTCAAACTCAAAAGTACCTTATTTATGTTGTAAGTATAGAGTCAGTTCCAGCAAAATGATCTAACCTGTCATAAACTTAAGAAACTGTAATAAAAAAGGAATTTCCATGGGTTAAATGCAAATTTATAAATCAAAGTTACACTAACATGCAACTGTGATTTATAAATCCATGTAAAGGATTGGGCAGGGTGAGTTAAAAGCAGATAAGCTGTTGACTCCAGGGGTTGTGGGGGGTGGGGGGGAAAAACTTCCATAGGAAAAAAAAAGAGAGAGACAGACTAGAAAGCAGAGAAAATCCAAAATGTGCTGACAGAAGTGAAGGAACTGAAACAGTTTTGGAAGCACTTGCCACAAAGGTCTAGGAGACCAGAATGCAGGATTTAGGGACGCAATCAAAAAGTAGGAGCTCGGAGGAAGGGTGGGCCGAGCAGAGTTGAACAAAAAAAGAAGAGAGGAAACGGCGCCTTCTATCAGTGGCGTGCTGAAGCTTCCTGCAACAGCTAGTGAAGGCTGACGGCGTCTGCGATTCTGTGAAACAGTAATGGTGGCTGTTCAATTATTCACATTTTTCTGGGTGAATCACTGAAAGACTGTTGCCTGCAGTGGTGCCACAGATATCTAGAGGTGGCTGATCACTGGACCTCAAGGGTGTGTCAGTCATTAATAGTCTTTAAACTGGTGGTTAACCTGGGCTTATAAGGCAGAAGACAGAACTAAGGAGGAGGCTACTAAGTCTGGGAAGTCTGAATGAAAAGAAATATTTCTTTTTGGGGGACTTGCAATTTATAGATAAAACTATGCTCAAACATAAAGGTGCACCATAACTTCTGTGAGTCTTAGGCTCCTTGCTCATTCCTTCTGTCTTTAGGGGAAGATTTTATAAGAATACTGATAACAAATTAACTAAATTTTCATACGCCAGTGGTCTCAAATTTTCTAGGTGGAGTCACTAAGATCTGAAATCACTTGGGGTCAGGAAAATTGGGGGCATTCAAATTTCTAAGTGAAGAACAAGAAAAGAGAGGCTCAGTCAACAATGCAACCTTGCCCGAGGGATTTCTGGCAAACAGGAGTTGTGGGAGAAAGCATGTAGCATGTTGCAGAAGGGACACATGAGGACAAAAACTTAGAAAACTTTCAGATTTCTTTTTAAAATGTAGTTTTATCATTTTAAAAAATGTACCTTTCCATTTGAAGTTAAAGATAAACTTAATGACCCACCTTACTCCAAGCGTAATTCCAGGTCACATAACTATCACCTCCTAGAAGATCTTTGAGCCAGGTGACTGGATTTTGATAAATCTGACCATTTTCTACCTTAATTTTACCACTCAATAAAACACTGGCTTTGTGGGTAGCCTCCTGAAGGAAAAAATAAAATAAAGATTAATATTAAAAAACAGATGAAATATGTGAACTTCTGCTTCTGGCCATGAAATAACAGGGCAAGATTTACCCTAATACCTTACACAACCAAAAAATGGACAAAATATTTGAAACGATGGTTTGCAATATACCAAACATCAGGCAACAAGTACAGTCATCCCTAAGAAGTGAGAAATTAATGAGGTTAGCCCTATAATTGTCCCAGCTCACTGCCTTCAGAGTTTCCAGGTCATGGTACAGGGAGAGGGAATCCAGGCTAAACCTGTGGACCTTCTGAGTTGAAGAGACAGAGCAGAGTTTAGAGAGGCAAGATAGCTAGAGTTTGCAGGAAAGAGTACTGAACAGAGAAATACAATGAGAGAGAATTCTGCAGATCTTCAGATAGTCTTCTTTAATTATTCAGCTGAATTGTGATTGGTTATGTGTGTGAGGAAATTACCCAAGTCTAGGAAAAGAACCACCTGAAAGGATTAGAGGTTAATGGCAGTTGGCATTCTCAAAGGTCGGAAATAGTACCTGTACCCAACAGCAAAACTAGAAAAACCTCAACACTTATGAGGCACTGGTAGGGTACACAGAAGACTCTTGCTTCAGTCAGTAGGGGGAAATAATTAGCCCTACATTAAACACTGCTCTAATCCTGCCCAATAAATCTTAAAAGCAAGACACAAAAGGATCAAACTGGGTCCAAGCAACTTAACTGTATCCTAGAATAAATCTCCAAAATATTTATAAGAATACAAAACTATCCAGCACCCAAAAAAGTAAATTTCGCAAGGTCTTGGATACAATAAAAATAAAAATAAAGGGTGAAACAGACAATTCCACAATAATAGTCAGAGACTTCAAAACCCCATTTTAATAATGTGTAGCCCAAACAGGCAGAAGATCTATGAGAAATGAGAAAACTTGAGTAACACTATAAACCAACTAGACCTAACAAGCACCTATAGAGAATTTCTCCAAACAATAGGAGAATATATATTCTTCTCAAGTGCATAAGGAACATTCTCCAGGATAGGCCATGTATAAGCTAAGTCACAAAATAAATCTCAAAAAAATTTAAAAGGACTGAAATAGTACAAAGTAGGCTCTAACTGCAATGGAATAAAATTAGAAATTAATAATGGAGAAAAATGGGACACTCACAATTAGGTGAAACTCAAACAACACACTCCTAAATAACTGATGGGTTAAAGAAGTAATCAAAAGGTAAATTAGAAAATACTGAGATGAATGAAAATGAAGACACAACAGACTAAATCTTATGAGATGGAGCAAAAGCAGTGAATAGAGAAAAATTTATAGCTGTAAATGACTATATTAAAAAAGAAAGATCTCAAATCAATAACCTAACCTTACACTGAAGACTGGAAAAAAGAAGAGCGAACTAAACACAAAAGAAGCACTAGAAAGGAAATAATAAATATTAGAGTGAAAATAAATAAGACGGACAATAGAAAAACTATAAGAACATCAACAAAATCAAAAGTTGGTTCTTTAAAAAGATTAACAAAATTAACAAACCTTCTAGACTGACCAAAAAAGCAAATAAGAAGACTCAACTTACTAAAATCGGAAATGAAAATGGCGACATTACTATTGACCTTACAGAAATAAAAAGGGCTTTAAGAGAAACTATCAATAACTTTATGCCAATAAATTAGGTAAATTAGATAAAATGGATGAATTCCTAGAAAGATACAAACTATCAAAACTGATTCAAGAAGAAATAGACAATCTTAAAAAAACCCATAATAAGCAGAGATTGAGCTAATAATAATAAAAAAAACCTACCCACAAAGAAAAAACCCAGGTACAGATGGCTTCACTGCTGATTACTATCACACTTAAAGAAGACTTAATTCTTATTCACAAACTCTCCTTCCAAAATAGAAAACACTTTTGAACTCATTCTATGAGACTAGTATTACCCTGATTCCAAAAACAGACAAAGAGAACACGAGAAAACTACTGATCGGTATCTTTAATGAATATGGGTACAAACATCCTCAACAAAATACTAGAAAACTGAATCCAGCAACATATAAAAAGAATTATATACTATGACCAAGTGGAATTTATCCACTCTCAAAAGAATGCAAGGTTGGTTTAACACCTCCAAATCAATTAATGTTATATATCAGATCAACAGAATAAAACCCAAAAATCAAATGATTATCCTATTGATGCAGAAAGAACATTTGACAAAGTCCAATACCTTTTAATGATAAATACACTCATGAAACTAGGAAGAGAAGAGAACTTCCTCAGCCTGCTAAAGAGCATCTTTGAAAAACCTACAATATCATACTTAATGGTGAAAGACTGATTTTTTTTCTCCCTAAGAAAAATAGTCTTATCTTAGGAAAAAAAATGGAAGTCTGATCTCGCCATTTTATTTTAACATTGTACCGGAGGTTTTGGCCAGTGCAGTCTGTCAACAAAAGAAATAATTTTCATACTGGAAAGAGAGAAGTAAAACTGCCTTTATTCATTATCATCTGTATAGTAAAATCCAATGGAATCACCCAAAATTTAAAAGTCAGTATGGCAAGGTTATAGGATAAGATTTTAATATATAAAAATCAATTGTATTCCTACATATTAGCAATAAATAACCAAAAGTTGGCATTTAAAAAACAATATTGGGGGATAGAGGGGAGGAGGGGCATAGGGTAAAAGGGGTCAAATATGTGGTGACAGAAAGAAATCTAACTGTGGGAGGTGAACACACAATGCAATATATATATGCCTTATTGTTAAATTGTACACCTGAAACTTACTGGATTTCGTTAACCAATGTGTTCATAAAAAACAACAAAAAAAAGCAATATTACATACAATACTATCAAAAATATAAAATACTTTGGAATAAACCTGATAAAAGCTGTGAAAGACCCGTGTACTGACTCCAACACTGCTGAGAAAAATTTAAAAAGACCTAAATAAATGGAGAGCTCTACCATGTTCGTGGATTGGACAACTCAATATTGCTGAGATGTCATTTCTTCACAAATTAATCGATATATTCAACTCAATACCAATAAAAATAACTGTAGCCTTTTAAAAATTCACAAATTCATTCTAAAATTACATAGGATTGCAAGTGATCTGGAATAGCCAAAATATTTTTGAAAAAGGAGAGCATAATTGGAGGACTAACACTATCTGATTTCAAGACTTATTCAGCTACAATAATCAAGACAGTAGTGATGAAAAGACAGATAAAAGATCAATGAAACAGAATAGGGAGTCTGGAAATAGGCACATATATGGACAACTGATTTTCTACAAAGGTGCAAAGGCAATTCAATAGAGAATACTTTTTTCAACATATGCTGCTGGGAAAACCGAATATCCAAATTCAAAACTATAAATGGGGATCTTACTTTGTAACATATATCAAAATTAATTAAACATGAATCATACTCTAAATGTAAACCTAAAACTATAAGAATTCTAGAAAACTATAAGAATTTAGAATTCCAAAAACATCTTTGTAATCTTGGGTTAAATTATTCTTAGATATAATACCAAGAACATAACCAATGAAAGAACACATTGATAAATTGGACATCAAAATTTAAACTCTGTTCTTTATAAGGCAATATTGAGAGAATAAAAAAAACAAGTCACAAGCCACAGACCAGAAGAAAACATCTGCAAAGTATATGCTTGATTAAAGACTTATACCCAAAATGTATTATTTAAAATTCTGAAAACTCAATAATAAAAAAGGCAACCAATAAAAAAATAAAAGATTTGAATAGACACTTCACCAAAGAATAAATATGGATGTAAAAAGTACATGAAAAGAAGCTGAATATAATTAATCATTATTAAATGCAAATTAAAACCACAGTGATGAACTACTGTATATATTTATATATTACATACATACATACATCTACACCACATGTTAGCATGGCTAAAATTAAAAGACCAATCGTATTAAGTGTTGACTAAGTAAGGATGTTGAGGAACTTTAACTCTGGTGGGAATGTAAAAAGGTTACAAACAACTTTGGCAGTTTCTTTAAACGTTAAATATACACTTACCATATGTAATCCAGCCATTCATTCCACTGCTAAGTATTTCCCAAGAAAAATGAAAGCCTATGTCATACCAAAACTTGTTTGCAATAGCCAACAACTGGAAACAACCTAAATGTCAACTACAGATGAACTGATAAACATTCTATAGCATATACGTACAATGGACTATTACTCAGCAACAAAAAGAATAAACAATTGATACATATTACAACAAGGATGAATCTTAAATAATTATGCTCAGAGAAAGAAACTAGTCAAAACTAAATACATATGGTGTAATTCCACTTATACAGAATTCTTAGAAATGTAAATAAATGAATAGAGACAGAATGTAGATGAATAATTGTCCAAAGAGCATGGAAAGGGAGGGGATGAAGGAGGTGTATAAAAGAACACGAAGAAATTTTTTCGGGTGATGGATATGTTCATTATCTTATCTGCGGTCATGGTTTCAAAGGTGTATACATGTGTCAAAACTTGTCAAACTTTACTTTAAATATGTGTAGTGTACTAGATTCAATTACATCTCAATAAAGCTGTTAAAGAAAAAATAGCTGAAATATGAAAATTACATTAAAATTTTATTATAGCTGATCCAGAGAAGAAGTAACCACAACTTTCAAAATATGAGTTAATTTAACTAATTTTACCAAATAAAATTTGATTTGCCTTGGCTAATTCTGAGGTAGGTATTACTTAGCAATAAATTGGTTGACAGGGAAGCAAACGGGAACATCAAGGGATCTTTAAATTATTGTTTGGAGTTGAAAATTGATTTTTGCTACTAACTTATAAATAAACCTTATTAACTAGGAAAAGCCTTATTATCCAGAAACGGAAAGGGTTGGAAACAGGGGTCATTCAGATTAAGTTCCAGTTAGCCTGAGTCAGTATCTGTCGGATCGGTTCATAGGCAAGGAAGCATCCTGGACGCTGCAATCTTTGCCACTCTGAATTCCTCTTTCAAAAAGTGAATGGGGGAAAGGGTAGAGGAAGCCTCTCTTGTTGGCATTTCTAGCAGAACTTTTTTTCCTCCTCTAATTTTATGCATATGAGATATTATTTTGATTGAGTCAGATTTACCCAAACTCTAAGTCACTTTTTGTTTCTAAAAATAAATTGACCTTTGAAGGAACCAAGAGGGCCTGTTCACCTCGATCATGAAATCATCCTCAAAAGGTCCACTCATGCGAGTTACTCAATTCTGGAATGTCCTAGATGACCTGTTTCAAAGTCACCCTGAGAGTTATGAGAAGTTCATTCGACAGCAGCTAAAAGAAAAGAAACAGCTCTGTGCTGCCCCAGAACCACAGATCTGTCTGCAAACCAGAATTTTGAAACCAAAAGAAAAAATACTTTTTATCAACCTATGTCGGTGGAAAAGGATTCCAGCCTCCTAATCAACCATTCATTTAGGACCTCTAAGTGCTGGCAGACTAGAAATGTCTGAGACATCAGATGTTTACACAATCATCAATGTTGCCTACAATCCTGATGTTTTCCAGGCAGCAGAAAAGGACCATAGGAAAAAAGATCAATTAGTAAGGATGGCTATGAAATGCCTTGAGAAACAACTCCAATTTACTCTCTCACATTTTTACCATATTACCAAATTTAAAATAAGAGGAAACATTCAAACGATGAGACAAAATCTGATGGTAATCCAAATTGACTCCACAGACTTAAGAGAGAAAACAAGAAAGGAACTAACTCATGAATAGATACGAAATGGTACTGGATTATGCAATCCAGATCACTTCCCTCAACTTTTACTGCCAAAAGACCACTTTTCAGGCCAAACAGGATGCCTGATAGAAGAGATTTCCAGTAAAGAAATCCAGGTGGAGATGAAGAGACTAACCTATGAATAAAAAATTGTGGTAGATTAGAATGAGAAAGCCCTGGAAATTGAATTAAAAATTGAATTACCAGGTATTAATTCAGGAAAAAACAAAAACAAAAAACCAAATTGAGCTTCTATGTAAGATGAATTTATACTTATCTCTTATTGGGGGAAGCTACATAGTTTTAGAGAAAAAAATAGGTACCTGTGTTTTGAATTCCAAAATATTTCCTGGGTTAATTCTTCCTAGTACTATCAGATCCTTTATCTGCATACATTTCTTTTTCAAAGCTGTGCTCTGGTTTGAAGGCTTTTTTGTAATATGTGGACAGCCAGACCCAGGGGAAGAGGTGCTCTGGCTGTCATTTGCATGTGGAGCAGCAAAAGCTGATTTTTTAAGATATGGTTTCATCTGATGCCCAGTATTACAGCCTAAGTCATCAATCCCTTGATGGGTCAGGGTTTCTGATGCCCTCCTAGGTGGTTGCTGGGAAGCTGTTTTCCTGTTTCCTCTTTTTGGATCACAGTTGGAAAATGCCTGACCACAAACAACAGCTGATGTCTGGGCATCATTTTGGGCAGGTGTACTTGTGGTTTCTGAAATATTTAATGTGCCAGTTAGTGCTGAAGGACTACAGGATTCATATCCGTTGGCTATTGTTTCTGTAAGATCATTTTCTTTTTGTGAACATTCTGCTTGAGCAATAAAAGCAACAGGTTGGGATGGTAATTTAATCTTCTTAGTGCCATCTGAAGATCGGGATTTTGGTAACTCATCCAAGTTACAGTCACTGACATTTTGTTTAGAATTCAGCTCATTTCCAGAAAATTCTTCCCTTCTTGCTGTCTTTAAATTTAGACAAGTGTTGGTATTTTGGCTGTTGTTCCACCTTTCCCGAGACAACTGTGTTTCCTGTATGTTTCCACAAACACGGCTAGCAGGAGAAAGTGAACTTGACTGGGGCTGCACTGAATTTTCTAGACTGGTAAACTCTTGGCTGTCCTTTTCACTAGAGATCTGGGAGCTGAATGGCAGCTTCTTCAAACTAAGACCAGATAAAGATGTAACATTCTTATAGTTTTGAATTCTCTGGCTTATTTTTTTCTGTTTTTTTGCCGCTACTAAAAGGCTCTTCTGTCTTGTGGCCAAGTTAGCAAGTTGTTCTCTCAGGACACCATGCTTAAATGATTCTATGGACACCCTAGAGAAAGAAAAAAAAAGAGACAAAAAATACAAACATAGCAGAAAATGTTTTTTAGCAGTCATTTATATTTTAAAGGTACTTTATCTCAATTTAAATTTGATCAGCTTGAAGTACACAAGAGCTTGTCTTTGCAATGTATTTCCCTTTTGAAGAAACGGACTCATAAGGTAAGTGTTTGCCTTTTTAAGGAGGTGACAGAGTGGTTATCCACATTTTTATTCATATCATTATCAGCTGTCGGTCAGCCCTAAAAGAGAAACAAAATTCGGGTTGTCTATCTCAATATCTACTAGTCTTGTAGTTGGAAGGAAGCAATTGATGGCCTAGGAGGAACACTTTTCATTAAGTTTGAAGTTTGCTTATTTGCTTAAAGTGTAAATATTGAGAGTAAGTTCTACTCAAGTTCTAATTAGCTATGGAGGAGTGAGATTGTTTTGTGAGTAATTATACCTGAGCTAGATCTGAGAAATGTCAGTTCATCAAGTAATTACTGTAATTGTACTTTGAACCTGTACTGAGGCATTTTCAAGTCCAAAGGGACTACCCATACAAGCATTATCCTGTGTGCTCCCCCAAAACCACATCTCTCAGGGGCTTGAGGACTAAGTGAGAGGAAATGACTCATCCACACTTCTGCCTTTTGGTTATACCCATCTATTTCACTGGCACCTTCAGGATATTAAACACCCTGTTTCCTGTAGTTCAAAACTTTTTGGTCTCAGAACTTTTTTATACTTTTAAAAATTACTGAGGAACCCCAAAGAGCTTTTGTTTATATGGGTTATATCTATCAATATTTGCTGTTTTAGAAAATGAAAAAAGAAAATTTTAAAACACAAGAACACACAAGCATACATTCCTTTAGCTATTAGAGTGATGATATCACACATTAAGAAAAGTGGCCTCAAGAAAATTCCACTGTACACTCGAGTGAATGAGAGCAAAAAGGGCAAATAACATCTTAGTATTATTAGAAAAATAGTTTTGACTTCACAAACTCCTTGAAATGGTGTCAGGGACTATTAGGGACCACCCTGTTAGAGCAGCTGTTTTAAGAAAAGTGATAATATAGATGTCTGTTTCTCCTATCATGGTTTAGAGTTGTTGGTCGTGAACTTGAAGTAGACTGGGTGTTAAGTAATGGATATAGGTGGAAGAAGCAGCAAGAAGAAATTGGATTAGTGAACAGCTGGTAGCATAAAATGCAAGAAGCTACATAGAAAAAAAAGAAGGTAACAATATTACATTGAAAACTGTGAAACAAAGAATTCATACAGAAAAACAAAAGTGCTCATTAGTTTACAAGATTTTATGCCTCATTGCAATATTAATAAAGATTTACACTTGAAACACTAACTAATCAGGAACTTTCAAAATTCTAGGTATCTTGTTAATCATAAGATATAAAGAAAAACTGAAGCTAGGCATCTCCAAAGTCCCCTAGAAAATATCCTGTAGCCAATTACCAATCTGTAGGTCCTACAAGCTCACATGCTTTACACTGTCAGGAAAAACAAGAAATAGAAAGGAATTTATGGTACTTATTCACTAGAAAGAAAAGCAAACTCAGGATATAGATTTATATAAAAAAATAAAAAACTGATTTTTAAATAAGCTCAGAAAAAATTTGAGTATGTAATATATGTTAAATCATAAGACAAAAATATAAAAAAAATCAGAAAGATTACATGTGAATAAAGAATAGGATCGAAAAGATATCTGCATTCATTGCAGCATTATGCACAATAGCTAAGACATGAGGATAATGGATGAATGGATAAAGAGAATATGATACACACACACACATACACACAGAGTGGAATATTATTCAGCCATAAAAAGAAGGAAATCCTGCCAAATGTGGCAACATGGATGGACCTTGAGGGTATTAGGCTAAGTGAAATAAGTCAGACAAAGAAAGACATTCTATGATCTCTTATATGTGGAATCTATATACACACACATACACACATATACCCCAAATTCATAAATATAATAGAGACCAGATTGGTGGTTGCCAAAAGTGGGTAGTGGGCAAAATGGGTGAAGGTGGTCAAAAGGGACAAACATTCAGATATAAAATAAATAAGTCATGGGGATGTAATGCACAGTATGGTGACAATAGTTAATAATACTGTATTATACATTTGAAAGTTGCTAAGAGAATAGATTTTAAAAGTTTTCTTCCCAAGAAAAAAAAAACAATAGGGGGTATATGTAGCTAAGTCTATGAAAACTAATAAAAAAATATTTCCTAAATAAGAAAAAAAATATATAGCATCTTTCTCAAAAAAGGATGTGAAGAGGTATATAACCAATATAATCAGGATAAAATTCCTTAAGAATCCTGAGAATTTAGAGGAACACAAAACCACGAACTGCTCAGAAGGACTTTTATGATAGCAAAAAGAAAATTTTTTAATGTAAAAAATTTGAGTTTACAAAGGAAAAAAACTTAGGTTTGGGATTCATGACCAGAAAGGCTTTTATAAAATTCTTGGCTGCAGACAACTTTTTAAGGCACTAAAATGTTTTCTGAATATTTCAGGTAATAAAGATGAAAAATATCTTTCTGGGAAGTACGATTCCGTATGCAGGTCATAGATTAGATGACCTCATAAAGTCATTTTTTGGTACTAAGAAATATTTGTATTCTTAAGAAATTCTAGGCCTTACTACTGTAACTTAAAATGGGTAAATTGCGAAAACTCTAAAGCACTCCTATTTTTTCACTCACCTGTATTTTTTAGCCAGATCGTCCCTTTCAGCCTTTTGCTTGGCAAGCACATTATCCATAACCTCTTTTATCTCTAACATCTTTTCGATGTATTGTTCTAGAAACATGGTAATAAAGTAAAAAGTTGGTTAACTGAGAGCTAGCAAATGTTAAATTTCATCACAAAGAACTCAGCCTTACCGTTAATTTTAAAAAGCGATGATCATTCCCCTGCCCTCTTCCCCAATATCAATGACCCAAATATATAAATCAAGGCTTACTGAATTATGTCACCCTATAGAAGTACCCTGAAGTGTAAAAACACTGTGCCAAGAAAGAGCAGGCCAGCCTGAGTTCTAATTCTGCTGTCTAGTCCACTGACTAAGCTCTGTGAACCCAAACAAGTCATATGACCTCTATGGTCAGCTTCCTTATGTGTAAAATAAGGGAATAAAGAAGATAAATAAGAAGATAAATATTTTATCTGTTAAAATCATTTAGCTTTTTTTAAATACAAAAAATACATTATCCTTGTAAAATTTTTTTCAAACAATATGAATGTTTACACAGAAGAAAAGTAAAAGTATCCCACTCCTTCCCCTGCTTCATCTCTATTTTACTCCATGAAAGAGATAGCTGTTAATAGTTTGGTAGCAGTGTAGGGATTTGTGTGTGTAAAAAATTTTAATATATTTATTTCATGTATTATTCTACATATTTGTACTATATATAACTACATATTATATATATTTAAGAATAAGAACCATGCTATCAGTTCTTGTCTTCACACTTAACACTTAGATCTATATAAAGTAACTTTTATAATAATTACTTAGATATTTCCTACTTTCTTCCACTGCCTCTTAAGTAAAGGCATTGTGCACTCCCCTACAATCCACAGGACTTACACATAAATGTCGATTATATCCAAATACAGATTTCCAAGTAGGAAATTGAAAAGCTTAGATGAATAAATTTGATTTCTTTTAAGCTACTTACTATTCATTTCACTTTTGGCTTTGTTTAAGTTTTTGCTTAATTTTTTAGACCAATGCGTATTTTCTATATAATTTAACTAGAGAAAATTAGTGGTGGGAAAGAACAGGGAGTTCAGAGTTGGAATTTGTTCCATAACCTCCCTTTGCAAATCAGACAAATGGTTTCATAAGTAAAGAATCAGGGTTCCCAGAGGAGTTTTGTCACCCTAATACTATGGCTAAGAATTAGTTTCATAATGTAACGCAAGTGCTAACAAGTGGGAAACTAGTATGATTATTAAGAACTTAGATATAAATTTTTTAGCAGATTTGATACTATTTAGTAGAAAGTAGTTACATCATGTACATATCCTGTCACATTGGATTTTCCAAATGAATTTTAAACCACTGGTAAAAATAACACTATCATAGTAACCTAAAAGTTTATTTCTACAAGAAAGGATATAAAGATATCTTACATGTATCTTGATACTGTGTACTTATTTATCAAAGAGACAACGCTGAATTTGAATTAATTAATGGTATTTTACAAAGAACCTAGAAATTGTCCTAATATGTGTAAGATTTTAATATATGATAATAAGGCATTATAAAACAATGAGGATAAGAGTAATTATTCAACAAATAAGAGTAGGCAAATGCAGGAAAAACCTATGAGGGGAAACTATTCTATCCTTATCTAATACTATATATAGAAAAGAGATTTTTAGATGAATGACAAAATTAAAATGCTTAGAAAAAAAATAACAAAACGTTCACATTTTTCTGCCTCAGTTCAGTTAAGGCACTAAATACATCTGATATGAAAGTGAATGCAAGACATCTTTAATAAAAATTTACAAAATGGGATTTACAAAAATTTACAAAAGGAAATGTACAAAATGGGATTTATTATTCTTGAACCCCTCAGACAGATGAAAGATATAGAAGATTTCAGAATATGGAAGTGGTGAATTTGTAAAGATATTTCTTTAGAGAGCTGTTGCTTCACTGAGTGGGAATCTCCATACTCAAAAGCAAAAGTGAGAAGTGAGGGGGCTTCTCCCTCCCTATGGGGGCAGTTTTTCAAAGGATTGTTGAGAGCATAATAACTCTCAATCGAAGTGATAACGGACTCATATCTGGCTTTCTCTTTGAACATTTAGAGATTAAGACCCTGAAGAGCAAGGAGCTCCCACAGCAGAGCAAAGAGAAAGTTGCTGCTGTTCTGGGAATTAACTGTGCTCCCTACTAAAAGTACAAGGTGCCAGGATTCTGAAGAGTTGGTGTGGAGCCTGCCCTGAGATCCTGCTGATGAGGGCTTCTACCTGAGGGCAAGAGTGTATGTAGTATGGACCACCAGAAAAAATAGAAGCTGAGATGAGACTGAGAAGGCCAGAGGGGAAAAAATGTACACTGCCACATCATAGGAGCCACCCATGTAGAAGTTTCAGAAGAGCCTCAGAAGAGCCTGCTCTGAAGAGACTTAGTTTTAAACCTCTGTCAAAGAGTGATGGAGCCAATCAGTCGGTACTTAGTCACTAGCCAAGAACTCTAGGCCCCTTGCTACCTCTCCTCCCTTAAAGGGGCAGTGAAACAAAAATAAAGGGATCATGATTAGTCAATTTGTATACTGGTTATAATAGAAGAAAATTAAATTACACAGACTGGGGATGGGAAGGAAGAAAAGTTTCTAATCTTCGAAATATTAAAAGAAATGGCAAAGAAAAAAACACATTTTACTATACAGAATTTTGAAAATTTATGTATTTAAGAACAAACTAACATATGTTACAAATAAAAAGACATTTAAGTGGCTGAAAAAAGTATTTGCAGCAGTTATGGTAGAAAAGGGGTCAACAATATGATTACATAAAATGACTCCAATTTTTTAACAGACAAAAAGGAACAGTCAATTCACAAAGCAGGAAATAAAACTAGTGAAAAAATACCATTAATAGTCAATAAGGCAAAGGAAATATGAGGTACATTTTGTTATTAAACTAGTAAAATTCTTTTAAATGAAAATGCTGAGCTATTAACAGTGTAAAGAACAACAAACACTAATCTGTGTTAGTGGAAGTGCAAATTTGTATGTAATTCTTTAGACAATCAATTTATCAATATGAATCAATAGATTTTTTAAATGTTATATACTTTTGACCCAATAATAATTCCACTCTGTCAATCTTACCTAAGGAGATAATTGTAAATCCAGAAAAAAGCTGTGTTGTAGCATAGTCACAAAAAATTAGAAGAAATCTAAATGCTCAACAATACTAAAAATTAAGCAATAAACCATGGAACATTTACTGAACAGGATACTGTAGAACCGCTAAGGATGATGACTTCGAGAAAAAAGAAAGTAAAAATAGCATATCTAGCATGACCAAACTATATTTTTAACAACTTTACTGAGGTATAACTATAACTATGTTCTTAGGAGGAAAAAAGGAAACAAATACATCAAAATACTGTGGAGCGACAGTAGGTAATTTTAGCATATTTCTTCTTCTTTATTATTTTTGGAGGTGTAACTATATGCCTTGTATAATGAAAAAAATTATAAACTTGGAAAATTAATCTTAGATTCATTAGATATTAGAAATACTAAATAAAATATATGAACCACACATATATTTTGGGGGGTATAAATTACTTTATTATTTTCCTCGAAATACAACTTATTTTCCTCGAAATACAACTTGTACCATGTGTTAGGCTAGGATGAAAAGTAGAATGGGTATAATTTAAAAGGAAATAATTTTTTAAAAAGGCTATACAACTTGAGTTAGGATAGAGATGAACTAACAGTTGTATCCTGCTACACAAAAGATTGATGAAGTACTTTATTTTTAGCTAACTACTTTTAGTTCAGATCTGCATCTATCAGGAGCTGCTTTCTACCTTGTAAATCACAAGAAAACATAGCTGTGAGCTATCAAAGGTTTACAAACATTCACTGAAGTTTTGAGAAATTAAGATTTATTAGGTCTGATATCAGTCTAATTTACTATTTTGAATCACTAGTGTTTTGTAAACAGGAAGACATCTATTCAGTAAGACGTATCTGCTCCTTTGGAAGGTACGGGTATTATCTCTGCTTCTGTCACCACCACAGATCTGTTTTTAAGAGCTGTCATAGCTGGGTGAAGCTGAAGAGCCAAGAATTAACACAATCTTATCTTTAATCACTATCTTATGCTTTTTGTCCCATTTTTATCTAAACATATCACCAGGAGTGGCTTATCTCTGATGATGGTTCTGAGTGTCCCTCAAATTACTCATGCTATACCTTGATTCTAGAAATATCACCATCAGCTATTATATCAACTACTGGTTTGCATCATTGACTTCTGATGATCGTTCCTGTCACTTTACTCTCACATAAAAAAGACCACATTTTCAGCCACTGTGAGCTTTGAAATAAACACATACCTTAAAAAAGTGAGATAGCAATGACCTTGGATGTCAGAAATAATCAAACTTACTATGAGTCCATAAGAATGAGTCCATATTTACCTGCATCTTCAGGGGTTCTTATTTCAAACTCCAATAAATTTTCTTGTTTTTCTTCTATATCTTGTAGAATGGCACTGATGGTCTGATGCTATCAAGTAAGAATACTCAAAGCTTCATTACAAGAAGGTAGATTTTCTCTCTGATATGTATTATGTTCAAAATGTACTCATGCTTTGTTTAACCCTAACTGTATAAATGCTGCATATTCAAGGAAAAAAGTAAACTTAAATATGTCTTGATTTTTGAAGCATATTTATTCCTGGAAAACAGAATGTAAGAGTAGCAACCACATAAAGAATAATTTTTCATTGACTTCTGTTAAAATTATAGGTGTAGGAGGAAAAAAAACAACTCAGCACAAAAAATTTAAAGATAACATATGCAACGAGTTCACTTTAAGGCTTTATGACTATCACTGCCTCTATGAAAATCTCACACATAATATTAGAAATATAAACCACTACTCAAAAACTCACAAAGGAGATTTGAGACTATGTCTTTATACCCTTGTCAGTACTAATCTTCCTGCCTGGAACACCTTCAATTTACTCTGCCCAGAACCCTCTCTTTCTTATGACATGGAATCACAGAGTGAACTCTCAAACCAGAGTGACTGGGTATAAATTCTGGCTCCAAGTCTTTCTAGCTGGGTGACTCCAGGAAGTTACGCTCCTCTCCTTGCCTGAATGAGTAACACATGTAAAAATGCTTAGGACAATGCCAGCACAAAGTAAGAACTCAATAAATATTGCTTATTGTTATATAAAACCCATCTCATAAATGGGTTTTATATAGTTAGCCTCTGACTAACCTAATTCGTACTAATTTATCCTTTCTCAGAATTACTTAAGAATTTCAGTGCTACAGATTTTAGAATTAATATATATATCTCATAAATTATATTTCTCCATCAAGATAATGAGATCTCGTAGGCAGGAGCATGGTTTTTACATTTGTATATGGTTTCCACACTGTTGGATATATAGTTGTTGCTCAATAGATGAAACTGATGGATCGGCTCAAATTATCTATCCTTTAATATATTCTCGATACACATTAATTTTTAAAATGTGTAGGTCCTCAAAGCCTTCTGAAGTATGTTGCTCTGAAATTTTACTTTGGTGCCCACAAGGATATGGAAAATTATCTATGGACTGGTTAAGAAAATTATCCAATTATGTGGAAAAGCAATCTCACTGCCATCATTTACAAAATAAATCAAAACTGTAAAATATAAATATGTAAAACAAACAATGAGATATCTTTCTTTTTTACAAAGAATAACTATGCTTATGAAAGCAAACTAAAGGTCTGAATTTGTGCCCAGGCTAAGCCTCTACCTATACATGAGGATAAAGAAAACAATTGATGCTTTCTGTTTTGCCTTATATTGTGGATACACATAGTCTCAGCCACCATGGGCTATATCCTTCACTCCACACCAGCTCCACATTCCACTGTAGAGAGTCCAGCATAACTTCTCCTCCAAGACCCCTCTTTTTAGTCCTTCATTATTCTTGTTTATCTTTTAAAAAGATCCTAACCTAGGACATGTCTTTGGAACAAGCAGCTTTAGACAGTTTATATTCTGCTTACTATAAAACTTCCCTATAATTTTATTCCAGATTTGCTTTTTTTACTATGGCAGAATCATCTTTGATTCTGACACCTCTTTCACAGTTTTGTACAATACAGAGCAGTGGTGAAGAGCACAGGCTTTAGAGCCAGATTGCCTGGAATTTAATTCTAGCATTGTTACTTAATAGAAATGTAATTTTGGATGAAGTTACTTAACCTTTTACATTAGCTTTCTCATCTGTAATTAGAAAGGTAATAACAGAACCTACCTAGAAGGATTATTATGAGGACTAAATGAGTTAATATAAAGTGCTTAGAGGAGAGCTTGCCATATGATAAGTACTCAGTGAATCCCAACTATTATTATCATTACTGCTTCTGTATGCATTTTATATGGTGATAGAGAAGGAAGCTACGTGTTGTGATCTGAAGGCGGCACCAAACTAAAATCATCTCATTTGTATGTGGCCAGAGTCACCTCTCACTCCAATTTGGTTTGAAACTTCCGAAACTCTAAAACAATTTTACATTTACAAAAGACAAACCCTTAATGACTTTAAAGTCCTCATATTTCTTCTGAGTTTTTCTTTTTCTTTTTTGTAAAGTTGGTTTTCTTTAGACTCCTATATCTCCATTACATTTTCTCCGTGGTTTGGCATCTAAAATGATATACGTTATTCCTGAAGCAAATATCCATATAGTCAATAATAATAGAGCAGTTTTTCCACAATGTTCTAATCTTTACATGAAAATATACCTTAAAATACTTACGGTCAATATAGTGGGCTCAGCTGATATAGGACCCCAGTCTACGGCAAATACATAGAAACGCTGGACAAAATAAGCTTTAAACACACCCACACACACAGCTAAGAATGAAAATGAAAAGGAAATTTCCTGGTTCCAGAAATGAAGCTAGCAGTGGCCCAAAGGGGATTTGGAACAAACACAGATATCGAGGGCTAGGTTTTTAAGGCCCATATGAGGAGGGGTCAGAGTGAAGTCCCTGAATAAAGCTAGTGGCCTAGAGTGGGTGCTCTTTAGGTTAAATAAGAATTAAGAAAACTCTACTTGTCACCTACCCAGGGCTTTAGGTAGAAAAGTAGAGATCCAAGCCTTTGTCATACATGTATATGAGAACTAAATTTATACAATGTGTGGTTTAGTGTGAACTTAAACGGAGAAATTAGCACAAAAAGTGGTGTACCACGGACAAACCTCTAGGGCCCCACTAGACGCAAATGTTAAACACAAAGCCTAGGCACACCAAAATTCCTACAGTAAACAACCATTATTAAAATGAGATTACAATAAAAAATTACTAACCACACGAAGAATCATGTTATCACGAATAAGGGTCGAGTCTAAAATCTCTTTAAAAAAATTTGGATAAAAAATTTTTTTAATGCTATCAGTATTGTAAGATAAGAGCAGAAAAGTCTTTTTGTTTTCTTTTTAAACAAAAATTGGAGAAGGAAACAGAATTTCTAGAAATAAAAATCATAGTCATTAAAATTAAAGCCTCAATGTATAGGTTAAATAGACTAGAAATATTTGAGGAAATAATGAATTGGAACAGAGATCAAAGGAAATCATCCAGAATATCATATGGAGAGTTAAAGAGATGGAAAATATGAAAAACATTTTAGGAGATATGGAGATGGGTCTAACGGACATAAACAGAAGTTCCAAAAAAGGAGATTACTGAGAATGAGGAGAGGCAACATTCAAGGTATTAAAAGCTGAGAATTTCCAGAATACAAATTAGAAAAGTATCTTCATATCAAAGGAGGATGTCTAGTCCTGAGTAATTAATAAAAACACATCCACATTTAGATACAATCTAGTGAAACTGTAGAACATAAAAGACTAAAAGAAAAATTTAAAATACTGCAAGATTAAAAGACAAATTATCTACAAGGAAATGACAATTAAATCGACAGTGGACTTTTCATCTATTACAACAGATACCAGAAAACAATACAAAATATTTTCAAAGTCCTGAGGCAAATGCAATTTAGCTTGAATACCACTTAAAATATTTAAGATATAAATTAGAATGACTAATCATAATTTAGGTTCAATAAATGACATTTTCCCTCCTCCACACTGACTAACAGAAAGTATATTAAGAGAAGTCTAATCAATATATATACTCCTATTCAAAATAATATTTCATTGAGGATGCTACTTTGCTTAAGAAGTATCTAGTATACTTTGTGTTTTTATCAAACTAAAGATATACATCTTATCTATCTAAAGATATACATCTTACCAATTAATATGTATTTTATTGAGCAACTACTATGTTATTTTTGCAAAAATATATTTTTAAATGAGGGGCTTCTCGTATGGCAAACATTATCACTATAAACTATGTGGGATCCAGTTTGGATAAACCAGATTGCTTTCCTTTTCTCTGTCTGGGTTTCATGGTCTTTTTTACCTAGTATGTATCCTAGATACTTTTAGGAAGTGGGTAAGTGAAGACACCTGTGACAGAGGCAGTATCTGTGGAACAAGAAGTAGCCAAAGAACCAAACCTAGTTGTAAAAGACAGCGGCTAATCTATAATTCTTAATCAATGCAGATAATTGAGAGTTAACCAGTATAACATACTTTCTTGGCTCATTCTGTTCAATTTTGCTATATTTTCTTATGACAGAAAACATTTTCAACTTGCACGTCCTTAAAATGGAAAGAGCGCTACCAATACCTAAAGTCTGGCTGGCCCAAAGAATGGCATTTTCTAGGATGAAGAACAAAGGATTTCAACTTCACTCACCACAGGAAGGCTTTCTCTTGTGTCATCTTGGTGTGAAAGAGAAGGCGAATCAACAGTTTTGCGGTCTTCACAAAAACACTTGTTATGTCTTTTGGGCTGGACAGCAGGGACTTTCACTTTAAAAAATAAAATTAGAAAATATAAAAAGAATGTGCAGAAACGTAGCTTTATTTTTTATCAATTATAATGATGACAGGAATAGGAAAGATAAATTAAGTCCACAATTATAATATCTTAATGTTGGTCAGCACCTCAGTCTTTATTATCAACTGACAAATTACAGCTAACATTTTCTGAATACTTATCACATGCTGGATATCAAATTCTTTGCATGAATCATCTATTTAATCTTCATATGAACCCTGTGAGATAGGCAGTTCATTATAACCACTTTACAGAAGAGGAGAGTGAAGCTTAAAGGGATTCAGGAAGTTTGCCCAATTGTCACATAGCTATTACTGAAACAAACTCTGACTTCAAAGTACATGCTCTTAATCACTACAACTATAATTCACTGTCTCTGTGAAGTTCTCTTGACCCTTCTCCCATTCTGGATTCCCTTTCCCTATGTAACTATTGTATCCTATGACCCTCATCTCTTTGGGGTACGAAGGAAATATGTGCACAAGAAACAACAGACAAGTAGGAATAGATATAGCAATAGATATATAATAGAGTGCCTGCTAACTCCAAATGCAAGGTTTCTGTTAAGCTGAGCTGATATAAATCATGGGATCTGAACCTTCAATGTATCTGTGGAGAAGGGAGAGAAATGGCTGTGGTTCTAAGAAAGGACCTGACCCTATGGACTTACCATGTAGTAGTAGGCAATGAAAAGAAGAACCTTATACCAGTCTTGACCTTGACTTACATGTGATCTAGCTTATTAGTAAAATAGGACGCAATGATTATCTATATCAATAATATGATTCCTCCCTTGAAAATCAACAGTTGGTAAGGATAGTGGTAGGCTGAGGAAGAAATGTGTGACAGGGATTCTTTTCCCAACATTCTCTCTCATAGAGAGAGAGGGCAGATTATCTTCCTGGGTTTCTTCTATGAGTCAAGGCTCAAGCATGAGGAAAAAAAGAACAACTTCTTCTCCTTAACACTTAATAAATTGTGTTTAATCACTTGTTTTCTGTGGTCTCCCCACAAGACTAGAAATACCTTGTGGGCAAGTGCCTAGTTTGCACAGCAAGTACTCAACAAATGTATTTTCTAAATTAGTATTCACTAAATGCCTACTTCTTATAGATAATTCATTATATTATTTAAATGCAAACTACTGGTAAAAATAGTTCATAAAATTTTGCTAGCTGTACATGTCTTTAAAATATTCTTTTCACTATAACATACATTATACACATGTATAATATATTTGCTTATCAAATTCATATTCTAGCATTAGAATATTAGAGTCTTTAAAAATGGGCATCAGTCCAACTTTTATATGAATCATTACCATTTCTGAAGTAATGAAATCTTAATTACAAAGACTTTAGTAGCATAATGTCAACCTTTTCCAGCCCTACTACAAGTAAACCAATGAGCATAGTTTCAGTTACACTCTATCTCTATCTCAGACCCAATGTTAGGGAGATCAAGGTTTGTTTAATGAATAATATGGGTTTCATTTCAACATGTAACTCCATTCCAATAGGTTCATATGTCCTATAAATTACAATAAGTTTGGAAATTCTACTTCTAAAAATAAATAATACTTTTCATGAGTTTAATAAACATACAAAACACATGTCCCCAGTTGTAAAACTATTTACACAACAAAGATGAAGATTTTATTTTTCTAAGTAGAGGTATAAAACAGCAAGCAATACTGACATACATACCAGTGACTACAGCATTACTCTCATCTCTATTATCAGCCTCAATAGCACCATAAGATTTTAGCAGCTCTTTCATTTTTTCATCATCTGCTTCATCTAAAGCAGTCTTCTGTTTTTGATTCTTTTGATTAGGGTTTGCTCCGTGTTGTAGCAGAATCTCAGCTACCTAGAAGGTATTTTTCCAAAGTTATCTCTATAAACACTTTAGATCAATAATTTCTGCTTTCATTATAGGATACCACTACCGACCTTTAAAAGTTATCATAAAAAGTTTTCAAACTTTGGCCAAGGAAATTTTTATTAAACGTGATATGATAATTGTAAATGGATCCACTGATTTGGCCTGATTTATTTCCATTGGAGGACTACACATGATAACATAAAAGTACCAAATATGCTGCCTTCATTGCAGTAAAAGGCATAAGTAGACTATGGGCTGAGGGTTTTATTCTATCTCTTTAACAGAACCCTTTGTCCTTTCCCAAGCTGCTGGAAGATGGGGTGGAGAAGGGAGGAAGATTCACTTCAGGACTATATTATATTATAAATTGTATTATAAATTGCCATTAGACATAGTTGAATAAAGTTCTATTTGAACTACATTTCAGGTACTTGTTCAAAGAGGTTTTATGAGCTAGCTGGGAACCTAATGCTCATTCTAATAATATCTATGCAAATATATTACACATGCTAAATAACTGATTTATATTCACAAAGGTTAAAGATAAAAGGAAACTTAGAAATAATCTACTCCAATCCCATTATTTTATAGAAGAGGAAACTGAGGTCAAAGAAATTGTGACATTTTAGGGGTAAAATAAGCTTCTAATATAAATAAAGCTTCTCTAAATAACTCAAAGTGTATATTAGAAGTCAGTTTATAACTGATCAAAGTTAAAGATGGTTACTAATTAGTTTATAAGTCAATTAGTAAAAAACAGCCAGTGATTCCATTTACAGGAGGCAAGCAAGAGTCTCAAACCAATGAAATATTTTCTAATTAGGAAAAGATGGTCAGGATTTTGTTAAAATAGAGATATACTATCTGCTAGGAGCTTTTCTCTTTCTGCTTATGCCCAGAGATTGAAATGCAGAGATATTTAGGAGCAAATGGGCCAATGCAAATGATTTGTTCCATCGGCCTAGAGATAGCATACACAGCTTAAAGGAAAACACATTTGTTTTAAAGTCAAGTGTACAGAACTCATTCATGCTACTTACTAGCTATGTCCTTGGGCAAGTTTCTTACCATCTGAACCTTATTTTTATTACTTATGAGGATGAAATGTGAGCCTTTATAAAGTACCTGACACATAGTGGGCTCTTAATGAAACTAGTCCCCTAATCCCCATTTTTGCTTTAGAGAAGTGAAATGATCAACTGAGGTAATGAGAGGCAGTAGATAATGGCATATGGAAAAGGTCTCCTGAAAAGTTTTTTTGATGAAACATGAATATATACACCTTAGTAAAGTCTGAGTACAGGTATTTTATTTTCTTATTTTTAAAAGATGGAGAGAGCAGTGTCTCAAACCAGTAGTTTCTATGCCTGAACGATCATTAAAGTCACCTGAGGAATTGAAAATAGATTCCTTAGACCATCTTTCCAATACTCTATGGGGGAGTGAGAAAGCTACTTTTAGAAATGAAAGCTTTTCTAGGCTCTTACACTTATACCATTTAATAATGACTATTCTGCATGTGTGTTAAGACAAAGCCTTGATCTTTAAAATATTGACATGGATTCATTTAATATACTAGTTTAGAAGACACAAAGAACTAGGCTCAGAGAGAGGCTCCTGAACAGCTGTTTTTCAGAAATACTCATTAAGAGGAAAAAGTGTAAGAGAAAAACAACAAGGCTGAAAGGCAGTGAACAGGAAAGGCTAAAGCTAAAGTTGGGAGGGAGTCCCTGGTAACATGATGGGGTGGATCTGAGGAACAAAGAGCTTGGCAAAAATTAGGTGATCAAGAAATAGGCCCCTCATCTTCTTTTTAAAATTAGCTTTCCTGAAGTAATCAATACTACAGTTATGACTAAGAAACAATCCATCATCACACACACTCACAAAAAAAAACCGTTATGCCTCTACAGCCAATTCTTTTCCACTACTCTTTGGACTTTGGCAGTCAGCATTCTACTTCAATCACTATAGGTTTTGCCTTTTAGATAATGCCATATGAATGGAATCATCTACTATATAGTCTTTTGTGTCTGGCTTCTTTCAATTAGCAGGATGATTCTGAGATTCAACCATATAATTATGTGTATCAATAGTTTATCCTGGCTACTTGCTAGCTAGTATGAAAACTGTTAAATCAGTGGAAGTTATACCCATTCTACAATGCATGTAGAGAAGTGTCAAAAGACACCTGTAACAAAGATGTTTCTAAGGAAAAAAATTACTTTTAACAATTTATTTATTTGTTGCTAGGCACTTGAGTTTTTCTAGGTTTCAGCCATTATGAATAAAACTATGAACATTCAAGTACAAACCTTTATGTACACAAAAAAGTTTTTTTATGATTCCTATCTCTGTTGAACCTCTCGTTTTGTTCATGTGTTATTTTCCTAATTTTGTTGAGTTGTCTGTGTTCTCTTGTAGAGTACTGAGCTTCTTTAAAACAATTATTTCAAATTCTTTGTAGGGTAATTCATAGATCTCCATCGCTTTGGAGTCAGTTACTAGAAAATTGTTTTGTTCCTTTGGAGTCATGTTTCCTTGATTTTTCATGTTCCTTGAAGTCTCGCATTGCCATGTTCACATTTGAATAAGTAGTCGCCTACTCTAATCTTTACTAACCTGCTTTGGGTGAGAGATATCTTCATCTGTCAATCCATCTAGGAATTCTGAGGCTTTCTCAGATCTTTTCTATGGATGTGCTTGATCCACACTTCTTATTCCTTCTTGGAAGGGAAATTCTTAAGATCATATGCCTTCTCTTAATCCCACAAAGCCAGGCCAGGTGTTGGCAGCCTCTTGTTTGTTTTTCCTAGAGTAATTCCTAAAAATCCTGTCCTGCAGTTATACTGGTGTTCTATGCTTGCTTACTAGCTCTTGGCAAAGGCTCATTCTGGCTCTTCACAGGAGTATACATTGGGAGCCCAGCCACGGGGGTAGAGGAGGATTTAGCGGGGTGGAGGATGGGAGTGGGATGTGGGTAAGGTACACAGAGCAGTGGGGGTGCCCATGAGTCAGTTAGGGAGACCCATAGAACAGGCATCTCCAGAGACTTGTAGGGGAGTTTCCTGATGGAGTCAGCTAGTCAGTGAGTAGGGAGAACAATGAAGCAGTTAGTAGCATCCTTGAGAATTCTAAGCCTTTGCTGCTGTATTTCCAGCCTCTCCCAGCTCTGCAGGTTGCCTTAATTATCTGGGCGAGGCAAGAAAGAAATAGGCCTCTTGGGCAGCATCCTGTTCAACTAAGGAAGTCAAGTGCTCACACACTCTCACTTTCCCCTACAGGAGAAATCGCAGACCATGGGAGCCAGGTGTGTCTCTCCTGGCGCTAAGCCATATTGCCTTGGGGAAAGAATGACATGGGCAAAGTGAAACTGCTACTCTCTTCAATGTGTCTATTCTTAGATTTTTTTTTTTTCCTCCAAACAGTCTGCTGGAACTTCTCTACTGGACTCCTGGACTTTCACAAGGTACCCCAAACTCCCAAATCGATGTTCTGTGGGCGTGGGGGGATAATGGTAGAGAACTGTTCTGCCATTTTGCTGACATCACTGTCCTGTACCTTTTTTTTCTAACATAAGCATTTAAGGTTTAAAACTTCCATCTAAGTTCTGCTTTATACTGCATCCCAAAATTTTGATATATTGTTACTTTAATTCAGTTCAAAATATTTTCTAATTTCCCCTGTGATTTCTTTTATGACCCATGGGTTATTTAGAAGTATGTAGTTTAATTTCTAAGTATTTGAAGACTTTCCAGATATTTTTCATTTACTGATTAGTAACTTCATTCCACTTTGGTTAGAGAACTCAGTTGGCATGATTCCAATTCTCTTAAAGTTACTGAAACTTGTTTTATGGCCCAGCATATGGCCATGTTAATGAATGTTCTGTGAGCACTTAAAAAGAACATGTATTCTGCCACCGTTGTTAGAATTTCCAATTAATGTCAAATAGATCAATTTGGTTGATAATGTTGTTATAGCTTTCTATATCTCGGGTGTTTTATTTATTTGTTTGTTTTTTTGTTTGTTTGTTTATTTATTTATTTATTTATTATTTTTTAGGCAAGGCAACCCTTGGTTGACCTCACAGATTGCAAAGACCTTGTCAGTTTACAATTTCTTATTTATTTATTTTTATTTTTTTACGCCTACAGCACCTAGTCTTCCTAGGTGGTCTACTAACCAGGTCCTACCCTGCTTAGCTTCCAAGATCAGACGGAATCGGGCTTGTTCAGGGTAGCATGGCCGTAGACTCGGGTGTGTGTTTTTAAATAGTTTTTTTTTTTTATCATTTTCTTTTATCTTTTCCTCTCACTCTCCTTTTCTTTATCTTTTTGTTCTCTACATTTTACAGGGTAGAATACATGAACATCTTGAAAAATAACCTAACACAGAAATTAAAATTTAAAAAGAAATGAAAAGATGAAAAAGGAAATAGGGTGCATGTAGTCAAGCAAGAATAAAAAATTCTACCTAAGAATTAAATTTATATGGCGTAACAGAACTGATACTGATTAGGTATATAATACAACATGTTTACCTCTCTTGCTCTCTTTTTAATCTTTCTGGTTTATCTATCAAACTCTTATCTCAAGATAAAGATATAGTGACAAAAGAGAAAAAGTGAGTCAAAAAGAAAATGAGCCAATGATAGAACTGTCACACAGAAAGAAAGCTAATGAAAACATGAGGGAAGATGTTAACAATATATCCATGTTAAGAGAATTAAAATATCATTAAAAATACCATCATCTCCTTTTCAAATAGAACATTTTTCCTTAGAATAGAAGCAATAGATATAAGGAAGGCTACTCTAAAGGCAAACTTTGTCTAAATCACCACTTAGGCGAAGAAACATAAGTGATCCTCTAGATCAAGCAATAGCAAACTGTAACCCACAGCCAAAACCAGTCTGCTGCCTGATTTTGTAAATAAAGTTTTATTGGAACAGCTTCGCCATTCATTTACATATTGTCTATGGCTGCTTTTGCACTATAACAGCAGTCGATTAGTTACAACAGAGACTGTGTGGTCCAGGAAACCTAAACTGTTTATTATCTAGCCCTGCTCAAGACCAGAGTGCTATCTAGCAGAATTCTCTCTGATGATAGAAGTGTTCTAATCTGCAAAGTTCAATATGGTAGCTACTTGCCACATGTAGCTATTGAGTACTTGAAATATAGCTAATGCAACTGAAATACTAAATTTTTAAATGTAATTAATTTTAAGTAATTGAAATAGCCACATGTGGCTAGCAGCTACAGTGTAGGATGGCATAGCTTTAGATCAAAGATATAATCTCTTTCTCAAGCAGCAGAACTAGTCCTAGAATTCAAGTTTTCCAATATCAAGCTTAGTGTTTTACCCACTAAATCAAGGACTCCTTCTGCTACTTTCTGTGGTTTATTTTCAGCTCTTGGCATTTATTTCTACAGAGGGCCCTCTATATCTGAGTAATCATTTTCTCCATTCCTTGAAATTATCAAATTGCTATGAGGGAAGATAGAGTCTTCGAAATAGGAAAATTCTTACTCAAGAACATCTAAAAATTTGACCTAATCAAACATCCCTCCCTGCTCATTAACATGGAGTCTTTCTCAACCATTAAATCGAAATCTCTTGATTCTTGGTCAGTTTACCACTGGTAATTGATGTTGAAATAGCCAAGAATAAAATGGAAAAACACTACAAACTGATTACAAAGTCATAGTGCACAGATGTAGGACTTCTTGAAGTCATATATTGAAATAATATTGGAGAAATGCTTGAAGCACCAGTGAAGCCACTGATGAGCAAGAAACTGACAGGGAAAACTAAAACTGTTAACCACCCCTCCCAAAAAACCAAAATGATTTGACTGTGAAAGGATTAATAGAAGACCTAGGGAAAACTTATAATGCTTCTCAAATTTTTTGAAAAAAGACCTCCCTCGAGGTCGTGGTGCAAAAAAAACCCCTCTGAGATAAAAGATGTCCTATATACTGTCATACAACTGTCAGAAAAATTAGGCCAAAAAAACCACGTTTTATTCAGTCTTTTGCTGTCCTAGAAATTAGTGTATGTTTCAATTAGAACCTAAACATAATACTGTTTAGGAAAGAGTTAACATAGCAGGCTTGATTGCTAAACAGAAAGGCTCCTTGCAAGGTTAGCCTTTAGCTGGAATCTGTGCACTTGGGTGGCAAATAGTATCCTATGCTGATATAAAACTTTCTTTAATTGATAAGGATGGTTCACTGTGTTTAAAATGTCCACCCAAGCAATGTGGTTTGTGCTTCTGGGAGTCTGGAATCTGGTATGTGCTAGACAGAGACGGTGCCTACATGACTAACCCCCAACATAAATTTGGGGCATTGAGTTTGTAATGAGCTTCCCTGGATGGAAATATTGCATTTATGTTGCTACATTTTCATTGCTGGTGGAAGGTAACCTCTGTGTGACCTCTCATGAAGAAGAGAGCATAATAAAGTTTTCACAACGACACTTCCAGACTCCAAAGATGTCTTTTTGTCTGATGACCAATTGTATAACCTTAATACATTGCTGTAATAAATCTTAGCCATGAGTGCAATATGCTGAGATTTTTAAGTTCTTTTAAGAAATTTACAAATGTAAGGGTAGTATTGGGGGCCCCCTTATTTTCTTAGATTTATATTGCATTTTTTGGGATACTGTCCAAAAATCTGATTTTCTCATTATAAAATGTTCACCCTTATTCAAGGGGTTTCACTTTAAGTGGTCTTTTTCTTATACAAATAACCAGTAGTTCATCACTTTAATGATTATTCCTGTTTGCTTTCTCTATTTTGGGATCACATAACCTTGAGATTTTGTCTATTCTTTCTTAATTTAAATAATGTAAAAGCTAAAGAGCTTCTTTGGTCAAAAGAAGCCACCTTGGACTTTAGCCTAACCATCTGATATTATTCTTAAACATTAGTTTACATCTTTTATCTCTGAAAATAATTAATTCAATAATACTATTCCTTCACATGACTACATTTAGGCTGAAAATAGTGGGTATATACTTTCATAAAATTAAATAAAAATCACCAGGCTCTTAAAATATATATAAATAGGTGTTAGTGAGAGAGCCAAGAAATTTTTTACATGAGCCCTCGTTTTATATAGTTGTTGGTGGTTTCCTTAACTATTTTTTAAAACCAATAATTATACCTGAAATCCATATTGCCCACTGATAAGAGTTTTCTCCTAAGGTTTGTCAAACAAAAACATGACTTTAAAAATCTGAAGAATTTTAAAGTCTAGATTTGAAATTCAGTGTTAATGAAATTTGACTCTAGTAATTTTCTAATGGTATGTTTATTCTCTTATGGTATGGTAATTCTCTTATGGTATGTTTACCACACTGCCTGATTAAGAAAAACAAAGGAGAAAAATAAACCACGAACCCCCAAGAAACAATAAACTTGTGTTTTTACCCATTTCTTTGAAACCTCAAACCCACTGGGAAATTCTGAGTTAAAAAAATCTAGCTGTCACATTATCACTTTAATTACTCTTTTATGCACAATAGTAAATCATTTAAGACAATTAAAAATGGAATGTATTAGATTTATAGCCTGTGCTTACTCTGAGCCCTTCTATTTTATTCTGACTTACATGAATTATGTAATGAAGAGACAATGGAAAAATGATTCGTTAGGAAATATATTGATTTTCCAATTTATACACAATATCTATCTTTGTTTGTAATTCTAAGCATTTTAAAAAATCATTTGTTTTAAGGAATCACTTTAGTTCTCAGTTCAAAATATCTTCATTTTCTTCATTTATTTTTCTAAGAAAAAGTAACAGGAACCAAAACTGATGGGTACTGTACCTTTAAATGATTGTTTGCAACAGCATCATGTAAAGGCAGAATTCCATCCAGATTTTCACAATTAACATTAGCACCAGCTTTTAACAACTCTACAATTATATCCTTAGATCCTTCACTAGATGCCTTATGCAGTGGTGTCCAACCTAAAAAAGGAGAAAGAAAAAAACAAGATAAGCTGCTGCTTAGAAATCAACATTCGTATAATATATTCATTATTAAGTTTATTTGCACTAATGGAATATCTATGTTGATTCAAATGTATATACTAAGTATTGGTTAAGAAATAATACTGACATACAACTATGGTCTTAAAATGTGTAAGTTTCATTTTTTAAAACAGATCAATCTCATCGAAACTACTGGTCTATACAAATTCCAAAACAGAGCACTCACAGAGCGTAAAATATAATGGGACCAGAGTAAACACTAACCACGTCAATTTGTTTCAACTAAGATTAAAATAGAGTAAGATCATATCTGACTTTCCTATTTGTATCTTTGCATTGTCACATTTCTCTTTAAAATGACATTTGATTCTTCAATCAAGCTTTGAGTTTTTCCCTCTAGGATTCCTTACACAAGATTCTTTTATGCTGAGCAAAATGTTAGAAGATCAATTGAAAATGGGAGATTTAAAATAAAAAGGGAGGGGAGACAAAAGGAACAGTAGAAAGAGAGGAGGAAAGGGAAGAACAGACAAGAAGATGGGAGAAATTTTCATTCTCTCCAAAGTCAGGGAATGGTATTAAGGCCTCTAAGGAAAAAAACCTAAATAAAGTTTTCCTTAATCCCCATTCTGTAGACTCTCCCAGAATGCTTTCAAATGCATGTTAAAAACTGTTTTGAAGGTTATTTTAGCAATTAGTGGGAACTAAGATAAATCTTACTATTCAACTAATATATTATTTAAAAAAAGATTGTTCCAAGTGAACAGCCAGGTTCAAAATGGGGTTATGTGTGAAATGTGTATTTAGTGAGTTCAAATTATAAGGGCAAAATTAAAAGAATCCAAACCTGCATTATCTTTCAAATTCACATCTGCTCCAGATTCTATTAGAGCTTTCACCAGAGACAAATTTCCTCTTCTGGCAGCCAAATGAAGCTGGCTTTCCCCTCTGGCATTCCTCTTACTGATCCCAGCTGTTTTCTTTTCTGTAAGATTGCCAAGCAAAACTGAGGTGTTAATTACTATAAAGGAGCTTAGAAAATACATATCAATTTCCTCAAAATATCCTAGGTAGGTCTACTACACAGAAACATATCAATTAATATTACCATTACTGTTTTAAAATATAACTTGTGAAGAAATTATAGGGTATTTAAGTACATTACTTCAAATTCATTCTAGTAGTTGCTCACTCTTATATGCTTGATTAAAATAAACTTGCTTCAGTTCTATATGCATTTAACTCTCAGTAGTCCTCTAGCAATGGATAAATTTCTTAACACAAATTGTGATTTTATAAAAATTCTCTTTCTACAGCTCTTCTCTATCTTGATGGGTGTGTTTCTGATCACATAAGATGTCAAGTACTATGTCCTATTGGTTTATCTTTCTTTCATAAAAAATGCAGTATACTATCATTATCTAAAGATTCTGTTTTTATCTTTTCCTTACAAGTTAGATTTAAGTTGGAGCTAAAAACAATGAACTGGTCTGTGTTTTTTTCCCCATTTTCTCCCAAAACCATGCTAAAATGACAGTAAAAAATTTTTAAAAATATATCAAGAAAACAGAAGAGGAAACAATATAAAGGACAAAAATGTCAACATATTTGGGGAACTGGAATGTCACTGATGAAGAAGAATTAACTGACTTGGCAGAGTGAGTCATGCTCCAACTCAAGTGCCTGCAAAAGGATTTGCAGCATAAGGGAGCCAATCTGAACCCAGGCATCCAGCACTTGAGAGAAACAGGTACCATGAAAGACAGCATGTTTGAACAGGGCTGGAAATAGGGAGACTGACTGAAAAAAAACATATATATAAAAGTTGAAACTCCAAGTTGCCTTTCTCACCCCCAAACTGCCTGGCATCCATTTCACTAACCCCAGTTCCCGATCCCCAAGCCAGGAACCTCGAGGTTTATTTTCTGTAGAAACTGCATCAGAGAAGTTCAGACTAAGATACAAGGCAAAGTAGAGAAGTAGGGTGATGAAACAGAAAAGAATATTCATTAAACCAGTAGTTCTCAAAGTGAGTCCCAGATCAGCAATATCAGTATAACCTGGGAAACTTGTTAGAAATGCAGATTCTTCAGCCCACCCTAAGCCTACTTTGGATGGCAGACTTTAAGATGGCTACTAATGATCCTTACCTCCTGGTATTTATAGTCTTGCATATTCCCCTCCTCTTGAGAAATTTGTTTTTAACCAACAGAATACCTCAACATCGAGCGTATTTCCTTGATTAGGTTACAAAAGATAACATTTTCTGTATTGTTGGTAGACTTGCTCTATTGCCTTTGGCTTGCATATTTTGATGAAGCAAGTGGCCACCTTAAAAGAGCCCATGCAGCATAAAACTGAGGATAACCACAGGATGGCCACAACCCCCAAGGAACTGAATTCTGCCATAATTACATGAGCTTGAAAGTGGATTCTTCCCTAGTTGAGCCTTCAGATGAGGCCAACGCCTTGACTGTAGCCTGTGAAAGATCCCGAGCAGAGAACCAGGCTAATCCATTCCCTGACCTACAGAAACTGTAAGGTAATAAAGGTGTGCTGTTTGAAACTACTAAGTTTGTGATAATTTGTTATACATTAATAAATAACTAATATATCTACTGCATCAGGACTCCTAAGGGTAGAGTCCAGCAACCTGTGCTTTAATGGACTTTCCAGGTAATTTAGACACAAGATAAGGTTTGAGAAATGCTGCATTAAACCATGAGACACTTACCCTGCCCTATTTCCTAAATGCCAGCAACCAGGCATATAACTTCAGGGCAAGAGATAAAAAGATTAGAGAATTACTAACAGATGGATTCTTTGGTTATAATGACTTACAGGGAAGACTGACAGCCTCACCTTTATCTTTCATTCACGTCCAAACAAAAACATATTGCTCTTTAGAAATTCTTTATTGAAAAAGTAAAAACATATTATAGATTATGTATTTCAGATTATATGTAATATGTATTTCATATTATATATAGAATATATTTTTTAAATGATAAAATATCTAAGATGGTAGGCTTGCAGACTATAAGTTTGAATTGAAAAATCTCTCCCAATAATTGTTATTGTGGATTGTACAAATTTTCTCACTTTGTTCCTAGTGTGTTTATAGCAAAGAACGTAGGCATGTGATAAACATTTAAGGGTAAAAATTGAAAAACCGCTCAATGTTACTGTCATCATAAGTTTCTACAGTATTTAACTGAAATTTGAAACAAAATCTGGCAGAAACTAGAAAAGGAACAAATGGGATTAACACTAAAATTCTTTATAAAGTCGACTATAAAAGCTGAGTAATTCTTAATAGCATTACACTTTATATTTAATAAAGATTTAATTATTCATTAAGAAAGTATAATGCTGTTAAGAAATACTCAGCTGTCTGTTCCTTTGTATATGACCTGTTTTTTCCTCTCTAGAAGTTTTCAGGATCTTCTTTGTTCTGAATATCACAGTGAGATGTCTTGTTTATTGTAGTGGACACTTTCTGAGATTTTTCAGTATGGAAACTTCTGCCCTTCATTTCTTGAATTATTTCTTTGGTGATTTCCTATTTTCACTGTTCTCTCTGGATATCCCAGGGTAATCTTCTAATTTTCTTATCTTTGTCTTATTTTCCAGTTTTCTCTATTTTTATTCTTTATAGGAGAGTTGGAAAACTTCACTTTCCAACCCTGTTATAGATGTTTACATTTAAAAAAAATTGTTAGTGTATTTTTAACACCTAAGAGCTCTCTGTATTGTTCTCTGTTCTTTCTTTTCTATGCCTTTTTTTATTTTTTACATTTTAGATATATCTTGATTCTTGAATTATTTGTTTCTTCTGGGTTCCTTTGGTCTGTTTAGATTAATTTGATGTCTCTTATATTGGTTTTTTCTACAAATACTTGTTGATTTTGGGCTATCTGTTCATTTTTGGCTAAAAGAGAGAGAAATTAAAGTGCTGACTGGAAATCTGTGGAGAATAAGGGGAGCCAACAAAGCTGAGGACTTGGTGTAATCACCTTCGGGTGATCAAGAGGTACGCTGGCCTTTGTGTTAGTTAATTACCAGATGTCAGTATTTGGAATTCTCTCCTCTTGGGCAGTTCAATGTATTTATTAGTTTAATCAATATTTATTTAGGTACTGTGCTCTAAAAAAAAAAATAAGATGAAACAGAAATTCATTATCTCATAGTTCTGGAGACCAGAGGTCTAAATCCAAGATGTTGGCAGGGCTGCACTTCCTCTGGAAACTCTAAGGAAGAATCCATTCTTGACTCTACCAACTTCTGATGGGTATCAGCATTCCTTGACTTCCTTGGCTTTTGGCTACATTGCCTCTCTGCCTCCATCTTCACATCGTCCTCTCTCCTGTGTGTCTCAAATCTCCCTCTGTTTTAATTTTTACGAGAATAGTTCTCATTAGATTCAGGGCCCATCTGAATATTCCAGGATGATCTCGTCTCAAGATCCTTAACTTAATTACATCTGCAAAGCTTTTTTCTAAACAATGTAATATTCACAATTTTATATAAGATAATATCACAGGTTCCAGGGCTTAGGACAAGGACATATGTTTTTGGGGGCCACCATTCAACCCACTGCAGGAGGTAGATAGAAGAAGGGCTTCAATTTACATGAAAGGAAGACAATGGGAGAAGATTTACAGAGAATGTCTAATTCAATGCCCTTCCTACCTCTTACTAAACAGTAGATAAATCCACTTTTCAGTGCTTAATATTTAACTCAAAGTGGTCCAGCCCATTGTTCACCACAGAACTAGCTCCAAGAATTATATCAAAGGACAGTTAGCTTGTCCATATTGCCAAACACATACAATTGATTCATATGACACAAAGAAATGAGTGGCTATGCTTCTTTAATTTCCCTTATGTTAAAAGGGCGCAGTGAAAGTATCTAAGAGATTTGACAGAGTTCACCTCTGATGTCCTCACTCAATATTCTTGCTGTCTCTGCTGTTTATTTTATCTCCTCTAATGTACAAATTAGAAGTCATAGGCAAAAGTATGACAAGAATATATTTGAAGACTAAGATTCTCAAGTGATGCTTTATAGTAAAACATCTGAAAAACACAGATGAAATAAAAACTTAGTGAATGACTATAAAAATAAATGGTAAATATGATAGTTTAGAAATTCTCTAGAGTAGAGTAGATAGCTGGGCTTGATCATGTAAATGTTACCTATACAAGTTTAGGAATACAAACCTTTGCTGCAGGCAGCTTTCAAGAAATTTTGTCTTTTCCTGAAGTTCTGAACTTTTTTGTGTTCTTGGATGTCAGTAGATATGCAAATTTCTGAATCTGTTTTTTCTTTTTCCTCCTCACAATTTATTATAATGTTTTCATCTCCATTGATATTATTAGCTAATTCCTCATCTGAAAAACAAACATTTTGCAATATTAGTGTGGTAGGACTCCATACTGTTCCAAGTTTCTGTTCCTAGCAGAACTGTTTTTTTTTTTTTTTTAAGGGATGGAATTCTTTAAAATGTTTTTATATAATAAATTAGTTTGCTAGATGCAACTCTGATGGGAATACAGTGAATTGTTGAAATAAATGGAGCTAACAATTTCCCGCGGTGAAATTGTTAGGTTTCATGATACTAAGAGAAGTTTATACTACAAATAAACCTTAAAAATTGATAGAAATATTGTTTATTAACTTCTGTGAATATCAATTTCGCAACCAACTTTGATAATAATGGTTTGACTCTCAAAGTAAATACTATTACTTAACTAATTAACAGCATCTCAAAATTATGGCCCACATGTCCTCATTCTTGTCAGTTTGGGTAGAGACAGTAAAATTCAGTTGGAAATTTCTATAAAATAACTAAATCTATAGGAAATGTGTAAATCACGCACTACTACTAATACCTGGTTGGTGAGAAATTTCCTTCTCTTCTCTTTGATTAAGTTGTGAGATGCTGATCAGTCCTTTATTCACATTGTCAGTAGGATGAAAATCTATATTATGTATGATTCCATCATTTGGAAGGCTTTGTCTCCTTTTTACAACTTCAGTTGTTTTTATTACTTGAGAATGAACAACTGTGGATAAAGGCCCATTTGAAGATCTTGGTTTTTGGCCTTTGTCAGTGGAATTCCTATTAGTGCCTTCATTCTTATTCACCTTTTCCACAATATGTGTATCTGTTTGATTCATTAAAGGAGTTGGTGTTTTGGGGCTACAATCCAGAGGCCTTTTGAATTGTTCCACATGACTAATCAACTCTGGAACTTCATGTGTTGAAATTGTCCTTGTACAAGCCAGAGAAGTATGATCAGGATTTCCATGTAGGTGATCAAAAGAAGTGTCATACATGTATTGTTCATAATTTGCAACATGTGGTTCAGAAACTGCTCTATTATCTGAATTAGAAAAATTAACAGCTTCTTGTTGTGGAAGTATGCTTAGGCTGCCTGCTTTTAACTTATCTTCCTGTGAAAAATGGTCTTCAGAAGGTAAAAACTGTTGAAAATCCATTTCTTCTCTATTTGGTAAATTTTCTTTATAATTATAGTGGCTTTTGCAACCTGTAGAACATATTATCTTTTTAGATGTAACAGTCTTCTCAGAGGTACAGCAATCACCATGATTATCATTATTAAAAGTTTCCCACTTACTAAAGCTCTCTTTTTCACCAGAGTTACTGTTTTCATGAGATTTACAAAGACTAATATACTGTTGTTCTTGGTGAGTATTAGGCTGCTGATCTGTAGTAATAACTGGTAGCTCGATTTCTTTATATAAAGAAAGTCCTGATAAAGAAGCAGCTTTGGCTTGATCAATGGGTTCCAATTCCAAGAATTTTATTTCTTGATTATCTGATAAATCCAGGCTCTTAGTATGCTTCTCTCTGGGAACTGAATAAGCCTCAATATTGTTACTGAATCCATTTTTCAGGCCTGACAGAGCTGGGCTACAAGGTTTACGTGACTCTTCTGGAAGGTCATCAAGGGTTTGGAGAATACGTTGCTGAGGAATAATCCATCTGTTTATTCTTCTGGAAGAAGAGATGGCTATTGTCTTTCTTGGATTGCTTTCTTGGATTGCATTATCCACTTGAGTACTTTTATGTTGTGTGTTTCTTCTTCCTTTGTATTTAGACATATTTGTGCTGGGAATTTTGACATTATGGAGATTGTCCTTTCTGAATCCTGTAGAGTATATCTGATTAAGAACTGATTGCTGATGCTTGGATTTACCAGATTTCGTGTTTTTGAAATCCCTTTGGTAATGTTCATATACATCTTCTTTCTTTATAAACAAACTTTCTTTGCTTCCTTTATCAATTTTTATATGTTCTGGATTCTGTCTGTTGGAATTTTCATCACAAATAAATCCAATGCAATTTTTAGAAGTGAATTTTCGTTTCTATAGAAACAAAATATATAGTTAGCTTTATTTTCAGCTGTAGCCTTACACTCCATTCTGGACTATTCATAAATCAAACTATTATTCCAATCAATTTTATAATTTGATCTAACCATAGGGCATGCTGGGATATATACAACTTGATACTTCAGAAAAGTAGACAAATAGAAGAAAAGCAAATGTAAGAGACTCAGACTCAGTATGTGTACTAATCTTTATTTTCTGTTATATATTTGAATTTTTTGCCACTATATCAATCTTATGAAATATAATAAAAAATTTAATCTACTTAATTTTCATAGGTTCTTGAAATAATCAAGATAAAAATTTCCTTACTTTATAAGAATGCTTTAGAAACACTCTTCTCTCCCAATTGTTATATAGATAGAGCTAGAATTAAAGTTTTTTCCTCTGGTATCTGTGAGAGACTATAGACAGGGCAGCAGAAGAAGGGATTTAAAAACAAGAAAACATGTATGTTCCCAAACTGATCTGTATGGAAGGATCATTCTGGGCTGCTGAAATTAAAACAGGGACACTGCTTCCTCTCACTCACCACAACCCAAGCAACAGATGAAGAGTTACTGCCCATCCTGTGAAGTTTAAGGGATGGCTAGACACCTCTGATGCTTGTACTGTGTTCAGACTGGGGGAAATGTGACATGGTTGATAAACCACATGCCTCTATGAAGAGGAGGAAAAAGGAAATGTCTAACAATACATTAGTGTTCTCAGATATGCTACATTTACTCAACTGCTTCCCAAATTAACAATCCAGAACCTTCTGATTCTCATGTAATTATTCCAAAGTGTCTTAAAAGTAAGATGAAGTCACTGTTCCTGATGCATGCTTCAGCAGTCTTTTCTCTTTGATGATGTACAAAATAACCAGTGACTACATTCTATTAATATGTTTATTGCTAAACAGAGATATACCTTGTGCTGGTGTGCATCCTCTATGTCTAGTGGGTCATTGCTATTCTTTTGAGCTGTAAACAAAAAAAGAAAATAAAAAAGATAGCCTCCAGTGGTCAGACTCCAGACTTCTAAAACCCGTAAGTCCAAGAACCAAGTGGAATAAGTGAAATTATGCAAATATTTTCTATTAAAATTGGCACATTCCTATAATTTTCACACTTATTGGAAACTAAATACTATCTCGAGAGAGCTGAAAACATTTCTGTGGGAAAAGCAAAACAAACCCCCCAAAATTATACTAAAGATAAGCAGTGAACTCAGCATTTTTATATTCCCCACAGATATACCCAGGAAGCTACTTTTAAAAGGCAAAAAAATTATTTCATAATCAATTAAATTATCATTTCCTAATATGTTTGCTTAATGAAGTTCAGTCTGTCCCTCTATTTTCCAGTGAGATTGGGCTATTGGAAAGAAGTCTTTTGCTCTATAGAACTATTTATTTATTTATTTATCTATCTATCTATCTATCTATCTATCTATCTATCTATCTATTTATTTATTTAAATTTAAAGATCTAATTTGCTTTACTAAGCGATTCATGACTTGAGATGCATCCCACATAGCAACTAAAAGGGCATGCTCCCAGGGGTTGTACAAAATAGAAGCTTTTACAGGAAGAAAAGTGGGGCAAACAAGTATTAACAAAAGAAAAAAATTATTTGGGGGCCATGACATTTTGAGGAGCACAGGAAAGAGAAGGAAAAGTGTAATTATCATGCAGATTCCCTCTTCTTTCTCTGGGGGACAGAGGGGTCCAGGTGACAAGATTACCTTACTGATGCCTGACCAGAAAATTCCAGACTAGTTGATTAAAATTATATTTTGGGAGAGAGTAAAGAACTATTTATTAATTGCTTCTTGGTGGCCTTAATTATCAATGAAGTTATCTCTTTATTATAAAAGTAGGGTGTTTTGATCCAGGTGTTAGTCCTTAGTTAATGACATTCAAACAATTGCCTCTTGGGAAAAGTTTTATTAAAATATAGTTTTAAAAAAGTGAATGAAGCACATTCACATCTATTGAACAGAAAGAATTTGTTTTGTTTTCAAAAGACTGACACATTACTTATTCAACAAATATTTATTCAATGCTTACTATGTACATGGCACTTTAGTATCCATTACTAGACAAAACAAAGATCCTTTCCTTCATGGGACTTAGATTCTGGTGGCAGAAGACCAAAAATAAAAAATAAGCAAATTGTCCAATGTGTAAGAAGGTGTTAAGTGCTACTGGGAAAGGATAAAGAGTAGGGTAAGAGGTATTGGAGTGTGGTGGTTCTAAAAAATATGTTCATAAAATTTTTGATACTCTTCAAGAGGTAGAGCTTAATTGTGCTCACCGCTCCCCTGTGGGTCAGACTTAGTGACTCATTTCTAACAAATAGAATATGGCAGAAGTGACTGTATATCGATTCCAAGATTAGGTAATAAGAAGCCTGTGGCTTTTGTCTTGGGTGCATGCTCTTTCTCTTGGATCACTTGCTTTGAGTCAGCTGCCACGTTGTCACTAGCCCTATAAAAATGCTCATGTGTAAAGTAATTGAAACCATCATTTGACAACCAGTGAGGAACTGAGGCCTGACGATAATCATGTGAATGAGCTTGAAAGTGGATTCTCCTGCCCTAGTGAGCCTTGAGATGACAGCAACCCTCAGTGATAGCTTGATGGCAACCTGTGAGAGACCTGGATACAGAACCACTCAAATGAATTGCTCCCGGATTTCTAACTCTGAAACTGCGAGAGATAATAAATGTTTATTGTTTTAAAATGCTAAGTTTGGGGGTAATTGTTATATAGTAATAAAAAACTAATACAGTGAGGGTAGAAAGGAGGCTGGTTGCAATATTAAATAGGGTGGTCTAGGCCCACTGAGAAGATGACACATTTGAACTAAGACTTGAAGGAGACGGGGGAAGTGTATCTGAGGAACAGCAAGGAGGCCACTGTGACTGAAGTCAAGTGAGAGGTAGAGAGTAGTAAAAGGGGTTCACTGGTAGAGTGGCAAGCTGACGTAGGGGCTGGTAGGCCGTTGTAAGGATATTGGTATTTCTTCTAGATTAAATGGAGAACCACTGCAGGGTTTTGAGCAGAGGAATGCAGTGATGCATAATTAAGTTGGTGATACTAGCACATGTAGGGTTTTAAAAAACTGAGAGGAAATAAAAGCTCTTTTCTTGCTTCCATATTCTCTTAGAAACCATGCCTGTTAGGGTGGCTCCTGGAAAATATTTTTCTTACCAAAAAAAGTCTAACAGATATATTAGGAGAATATATAGGATATGCCATGTATTTAAATTATTCTTATATAATCCTTTTATTGACAACTGAAGATCGAGTTTTTCTGTAGTTCAATTTAATTGTGTAATGGATGAGAGGTCAAAAGTATAGCCCTAAGAAAAGGTTTTTAGAGAATGGAAATGAACAATCTTGGCCATATTCACTGAAAAAGATACAGCCAAATATAATTTACATCACATCATGTTATTCAGCCAAAGGATTACAGGGCGAGGGGACCCAGAACTTTATTAAAGTTTTCTTAACTGTTTGCAGTGTACAACCTGGGGGAAAGTGCATTTGCTATTACTTTTCTCTGTTCTTTTAGAGTCCTTCAATTATGTGCATTTGCAAATAAGTCAGTGTACTTTACTAAAGGAATAGAGCAAGGACACCACTGGGTGGGTTTTCTTTCTTTCTTTCTTATGAGAAAAAAAACTTATGAGGAAAATAAATTTAATTTCTATAATTCTAAATTCAATTTCTGTAACTTTCTACAGACATGATGAACAGATATAACAGGGCAGGATAATCTTACCTGAAACAAGATGTTTTTGATGTTTATGAACATATCTCTCAAGAAGACGCTTCATACATGCATCTTTGGCCTCATCCAAAGCACACTTTCCATTGTCACTTCTAAATAATGGATCGGCTCCATTCAAAAGAAGTAACTCTGCCACCTGGAGGAATATTGTGTGAGACAACCCAGACAAAAGGTATATTATTGCAAATGCGTGCTAGCATACAACTGTAAACAATATCCAATATTTCTTTCAACAATACAGAGTTTGGGTTTACCTATAACATCTTGCCCAATAAAAACAATTCAATGTAAGTGCTACTGAATCATAATTTGATATACATATCTCTTCTCTTACCAAAAAAAAAGGAAGAAAGGAAGAAAAAAAGAAAGAAAAAGGAAGGAAAGAAGGAAGGAAGGAAGGAAGGAAGGAAGGAAGGAAGGAAGGAAGGAAGGAAGGAAGGAGGGAAGGAAAGAAGGAAGGAAGGAAGGAAAGAGAAAGAAAGAAAGAGGCAAGGAGGAAGAAAGGGAAATGTTGGTTCAGCTGCTGGTAAAATGGGTTTAGCCAACACACCAAGAATAAAAGACTGGTTCTATAGAAGTAAATGTTAGTTTAACAGCTTTCAAGAGTTAATTATGTCTTCTATCTATACCTGTGTTGCTGCTGCTCTGCCTCAGATTCTCAGGGAGAAACCGGACAATCTTTAATCTGTTACTACTCCTCAAGCAACCTTTATGAAGCTCTCTCTATCCCCTTACCCACTGCTGCCTTAGAGAAAAATAACCTCTCCGGAGCTTCTTTCATTTACATATTTTATCATAGTGCCCAATATACTCTAGATTACACTTATTTCTTATATATCTGTCTCTCCTGTACTCTAAGTTTTTTGAGAGTAGGACTGTTTTCTTTTAAAATCAATTTATTATTTTTGAATAGGAAATAAATGAATATAATTCAAAATACAAAAGGCTCACCAAAGTATATGATAAAAAATGTTTCCCTCCTCTATCCCTGTCCTTTATTTTTTCCTAAGTCAGCTCTGGTTACAGTTTCTTCTGAGTTTTTCCAAAATTAGTCTAGTCCAACATTTATCTATGTATGTATACATACATATGAATATATAGTTTTTCTTACACAAGTGGTCATATACTATATACATTCCTCTGTATCTTGACCTCTCCACCCCCAACCTCCAACAATAGACCTTGGAGATTATTCCATACCAGTATAGACTGAACTTCCTCATTCTTTTTAGCAGCAGAGTAACAGTTTACTATTGAATGTATTATCTGAATGTACTATATGTACTATAATTTATTTAATCAGTACTCTATTGACATGTTTAAGCTGCTTCCAAGTTTTTGCTACAGAATTATGTCTTAATCATCTTTGTGGTCCCAGTACCTATTATAGTGTCTGGCACAGAGTAAATGTTCAATAAATGTTGTTTAATAAAAGAATGAATGTAGACCAGGGAGGATGTGGGGAGTAGGCTTTAAGTAACATTACACTAAAAGAAAGCTAAATTTCCATGTTAATATCTGGAATGAGAGAAAGGATCTGAATTTCTTTAAATTATATATACCTAAAAATTAAATATATATGCATTTTTCCTTTTATAACAAAGCATTCTAGGAGAGGAAAACGTAATACTACACACAGGGATAATATGAGCCAAATCCTTTACAAATTATTAAAACTCAGCAACCTAATGATTCTGCTTTTCATATTACATTATTATAGGAATTTAATGTTAGATAGGGGAATTAAAAGTAATAGTAGGTGCAATTAAATCTATAATTCACAAACAGGTCATGTACAAGAAGATAAAGAATATGCCTAGATCTTCACATTTTGTTCAGCAAAGAAAATGTAGAGTGTACTGCTTTCTTTCAGTATAAGTAGTATTGTAAAGGGGTTAACAAAGGCCTGTGTTGTTTATCTCTGGAGGTTTTCTGTCAAATAATAAACCACACAGTATGAGAGTGACTCAGGATCAAGAAGATCAAGAAGTGTGAGAAAGAGTGCTATAGGAAGTGGAAAGGCAGGGGCTAGAGTCTCGATTTTCTGGAAATATGGGTTGGTGATCCCAAGGGAGTAGATATATCACTTTGGCAGTCTTGGAAGTTTATTTATATATCCTCTAACTTAAAAAACAAACAAACAAACAAACAAACCAAAAAACCTCTCTTTTCACTAAAAGGCAGTAAATAAATGATTTTCCTTGAGTTTTCCCCCTAATTTTAAACCTACATTTAGGTTCTGTATTAGTTATCTGTTGCTACCTAACAAATTACCTTGGCTCAAAACAATAACAAATATTTATAATCCGATCGTTTCCATGGGTCAGGAATTTGCTAGTAGCATAGGAGGGTGGTTCTGTTTCAGGGATTCTTATGAGGCTGTAGTCAACAGGTTGGCTGGAGACACAATCATCTGAAAGTTTGACTGAGGCTGGAGGATCTGTTTCTAAGTTGGCTCACTCACATGGTTGTGGGCTGGAGGCCTTAGATGATTACCATGTGTACCTCTCCATAGAGCTGCTTGAGTGTCCACACCATATGACATCTGGTTTCCCCAAGAGTTAATGAACCAGGAAAATGAACAAGGAAGAAGCTATGATATCCTTTTAACCTAGTCTCAAAAGTCATAGTCACTTCTGCCATATCCTCTTTGTTACTGAAACTCCAGCCCACACACTCCTGGGGAGGAGAATCAGGCTCTATCTTTAGAAGGGAAGAGTGTTAAAGACACTTTTTAACATATTTTAAAGCCACCACAAGTTCTTAACTGGAACAACCAGAACAATTTCAGTAAGTGGCTGGCTTCACCATCCCCACTTATTTACCTCATCAAACAGTAGAACGCTTAGGAAAATACACTTCTACTTAAAGCCTGCCCATGAATTTACATCTTTAATCATACTATTGAATCAAGTACTTTCCTCCCTCTAGAATCAGCTGACTTCTTTGTGTAAGAAGCCACAAGGACAGAGAAGGAAATTCAAGTACTTCAAAAACACAACATTTTTTACTATACACACCTAATGGGATATAAACAAAAAAAACTACAAAAAATTTCATTAGTAGTTTCACCGTTAATAATATTGTTAATATTAATAATTTTGCTAGTAGTAGTACTGTAAGTATATTGTGCAACAAAGAAATAACTTAATTTATTAAGAAAATGTTTAGCATAAGAAGAAGAGATACAAATGTAAAGTCAAAGTAAGTATGAACCTATAATATTAACTCTGAAATAGAAGTATTGATATAAACTCATGTTTTTCTTTCTAAAAGTATGTATTTCACTGAAAATGCCTAAGAGCAATGACATCCAATAGTAAAGAGCACACCTAACACCCAGATTGTGGTCTCTAAATGAATTTTCCATCAAAACATCCATTTACAGAAAATATGAGGAAAAACAAGTTATATAATACCACAAAGATAAAATTAGCCAAATCCATAACTTAGGAAATTCTGTTATAGATTAAAAAATACTTGAGACACAACAAACATATGTAATATATGGACCTTGATGGATTCTGATTCAAACAAAAACTTTCTATAAAAACACATTTTTTAGATAAGCTGGAAAATTTGAATATGGACTGGGTATTAAATGGTATTAAGAAATTTAATTTTTATTATGTGAAATGATTTTGCAGGTGTAGAAAAGACTGGCCTTACTCATTAGAGACACAGGCTCAAGTATTTATGAGTAAAATGGTACGATGTCTGGGATTTCTAAAAAATACTCCCAACAGCAAAACACAGTCCATGTTCCAGCCTGTAGAGGTGGTTTGACTCTTTTTAGTGCGATAGAATATATCGTCAAACTTCATAAGAGAGCCCACATAGCTCATACAGACACACATAGAATGAATAACCACCATGTCTGAGGAATATTTTTTCAACATATGTGAATCCCAACAACACTGTCAACCAATCTCATACATTCATATACCACAGGAAACTTCATGAAATAAAAAGCACTGTTAAAATCATAACAGCTTACATCACTTGTTATGCCATTTCCTTCACCTACTAAAAGTAAGCCTAATAAAGGAGGAATAAAGGTTTGTCTGACATGGCCTATTCTTAGTGATGCCTACCGATGTGCAAAGATCACTACATTCTTGCCTAAACGTCTCCCTCCATCTATAAAATAATTTGTTCCAGATTTTCTAACTTCGAGTTGATAATCTGTAATGCTACCTTTTCCATGTTTTAAAAAATATATTTGTTTTTATCAGTTTTATTGGGATAATTCACATGCCACATAATTCATTTAAAGAATATAATTCAAAATGTTTTAGTATGTTAAGAGGGTTGTACAACCATAACCACAATCTGATTTTGGAACATTTTTGATTACCCTTAAAAGAACCCTCTATCATCTGTCACTCCCCATTCCACACCAGTTATCTCCCATTGCTAATCTTTTTTCTTTCTCTATAGATATGGAGTTTTATGGATATTTCGAATAAATGGAATTGTGTTTTTTTATTGGCTTTTTCACTTTTTAAAAAATATATTATCTTTTAGTATCTTTCCAGTATACAGTCAATGCCTGTAAGATCATATATTCAAGTTTCTACATCTTTGGAATGTTTAAAAAGCTCACACTCTCTAGGTGCTGGGTCCAACATCAGGTTCCCAGCCTTCCCTATCTGACATCTTCAGTCCTGTGACATCTAAGGCAGGGCCTGTAATGTAGTGTCTGAACTGGAAAAATGTCTAGGAAGCTCAGAGAATATATGATTTCTGAGATAAACCATGTGTGCTAGAATTCATAATCATAATTAATATTATCATTATTGCAGTTATTATTAACCAACTCTATGGAATTACAGTATTTTGATATTTTAACCATTGGTACACTTCTGTGCTGATGTACACTGACTGATCATTAAACCTGAAAGGTTCTCATGTCTTATACTAACTCTGAAAGTAACACTAGACTCCATAAAGCTTTATGCCTCCTATCAGGACCGGACATCATTGAGTAACACTTTATAAGAAGAAATATTCTCCTAAAGCCTAAAAAAGCATCATACAAAGAGTCTTAAGTGCAAATTTAAAAAATACTATGTATAACCAAACCATATTCTATAGTTACTAAAAGTAACATGTGAAATGTCATCTGCCACATTAGGCAGAACAAATCCATCACAAAGTAAATTTTTATTATAAATTCTGAGTATTGATTAGCAGAATGAACCAAAACTAAATTCTTGCTGTTCTACTGTTTGGTCCTAGAGAGTTTTAAGATTTTCAGAATGCAGTATTTTACTCTGCAAAAAAAGCATCACAGTACCTTATAATGTCTATTCATCACAGCATCATGTAGGGGAGTGATCTGGTACATTCCTTTGATATTTACATCTGCTCCACCTTTTACTAGTTCACTTGCTGTCTCATAAAATCCTCCTACACTAGCTTCATGAAGTGCTGTCCAACCTATTATACAAAAAGGAAATAGTATTTGTTTATATTTAGCATCTTAATAATGTTTGTGCTCACCCTTAAAATAAAAACTCTAAGTTGTTCCTTAAAAAGTATTTTTTATTATATGAAACAAGATAAACTCACCATGAAACAAATCTGTATTATTTGGTAAATTCAATAAACCTGAGAAACAAATCAAATTCCTACCCCCAACTCTGTTGAAAAAAAATATGAAAAGTAGTAAAATATTTAAAATTCTTCTGCCCTCCTCACATAAAAAGGCTGTAATGGATTATTATTAGCTAATAAAGAATGCTGGTTGAAGGCTACTTTTCTATAGAGAAGAGGGGAAAAAATCTTTATTTCTAGCTCAAGGTAAAGTAAGCCAAGTGGCAGGATAACACAGAAGTCAGTTCCAAAGTATATATTTCTTTTCTTCTTATTTGCAAAAAGCTATTTATAATAGTTCAACTAACAAACCACAAACTGCTCCAAGAAAACCAGTCATCCAGATAAATATTATTTTTCTCTGTTAGCCAGAGGCAACTGTATACATTACAGATATTTATTAAATTCCAATAAATCATATGATTGATGTAAGAAAACCTAAAAGTTGCATGTTAAAAGTGTATTTCACTAACTCTTTCCAGAACCTTCTCCATAAACAGTTTTCTCAATCTCGACACTAACATTTTGGGTTGGATAATTCTTTGTTGTTCTGAGAATTCCACCATATGCCAGTAGCATCCCTTCTTTCCCAGTTGTAACAACTAAAAATGTTTCCAGAAACTGCCAAATGTCCCCTCAGAGACAAAAACACCCCAGTTAAAAATCACAGCCATAAAATGCTATAGAAGTTTCTCTTATAGTATTAAATAGAAAGCCTAGAGAAAGAAATAAGAGCACCCAAAATGGTAAAGATATAGCTAATAGGAGTTTTTTTCCTATAAATTTTCCTAGAATGCATACAGCTATTTAAAGCACAAATTTTAACATTATGTTTGGGGGTCTATGTGTGTAAGTGTAATATATATGAGAGCTATTGTATAAAAAGGATAAGGGAAATATATTCGATGTTCATACATTTTATATGAAGTATTACAGTATTAACTCTAAGATGACTGTGAAACATTAAAGATGTATATTGCAATCCCTACACTATACACTAAAAAATAATGCAGACAAAAAGAGAAACAAATAAAACTCATGAGAAATAATTAATAAAATGATAGTCCTAAATCTAACCACTTACATGAAATGAAAATTGATTAAAAGGCAGAGATTGTCAGAATGGATAAAATAACAAAACTGTATGCTGTCTACAAGAAATACATTTTAAATATAAAGATATAGATAGGTTGAAAATATAAAAGCTAAAAAATGGTATAGCAAATAGATAAGAAATAGAAGAAGGCTAGGGTATCTATATTAATATATAATCTATAAAACATAATATATAAAGTACATTAATAGATATTAATATATAAATTCTATTTTATATATTAATGTAATCATCCTAGATAAAGAGATTTCAAATGATTAAAAGGTTAATTTATCAGAATACATGACAATTATAACTGTGTAGGAACCTAATAACAGAGCTTCAAAATATAAGAAGCAAAAATTGACAGAATTAAAGGGAGAAGTAGACCACTCCATAATCACAGTTGTGAAGATTTCAATACCCCTCTCAGGAAATGATAGATCAACTGGAAAAAATAATCAGTAAAGACAGAGATGTTCTAAACATTATCAATCACCTTCGTCTAATTGACATTTATAGAACCTTATATACAACTGAAAAAAAAAATCAAGTTTATAAGGGATAGTTCCAAGAAAGACCATATATTAGACATTAAACCAATTCTCAATAAGTGTAAAATAATCAAATTCATAGAAAATGTATCCTTTAACCACAATAGAATTAAATTAGAAGTCAATAATAGAAAGATATCTAAATAACCCTTAAATATTTAAAATTAAACAACTTCTAATATAATCCTGGGGTCAAAGAAGTAATCAGACAAGAAATGAAAAGTATTTCAAACTAAATGATAATGAAAATATAACGTATCAAAATCTGTGGGATGCAGGTAAGTGCAGTAGAGGGGAATTTAAAGTTTTAAATATTTATGGCAAAAAGAAGGTACAAAAATCTGTGACTTCATTTTCAACCTTACGAAGCCAGAAAAACAAAGAAAATCAAAAGTAAGTAGAAATCAGAAAAAGAGTAGAAATAAAATAAAAAACAGATCAAAAAGAAAAAATTTTAAAGCCAAAAGTTGGTTCCTTGAAAAAAATTAATAAAATTGATAATCCTCTAGGTTAGGAAGGATGGAATTAAAAAAAGAAAAGGAAGGAAGGAAGAAAGAAAAAAAGCAGTGTGAGGAATGAAAGATAAAACATCTCTAAAGAGCTTCAGATATTAAAAGGATAACAAGGGAATATTATAAATAACTGTGCCAAAAAATTCTATAACTTAGATGAAAAGGATGAATTCCTTGAAAAGTATAATTTACCAAAACTGACACAAGGTAAAAGAGAAAATCTGAATAGCCCACGCCTACTAAAAATTTTTAATTTATTATCAAAATCTTCCCACAAAGAAAACCACAGGCCCAGATAGTTTCACTCCTAAGTTCTGTTAAACATTTAAGAAAGAAAAAACCCTAATCTTAAACTCTTTCAGAAAATAGAAGAGGAGAGAATACTTCTTAACTCATTTTATGAGGTCTGCATAACCCTGGTACCAAAACCAATATATCACAAGAAATTTATAGACTAACGATACTTATCGACATCAATACAAAAAATCCTTAACATAGTATTAGCAAGTTGAATCCAGCAATATATAAAAAGAATAATATATCATGATCAAGCATCCATTCCTCATAAAAACTCTCAGCAAATTGGGAATAGATTTCTCACATGGAGCAAAAGCCTTACAAAAGCCTACAGCTAACATCATGCTTCATGGTGAAATAGTAAAGAGGCAAAATTAACCTATGGTGAAAAACATCTGTACAACAGTGGCTTCCAGAGACTGGGGGTGAGGAATAACTGGCAAGAGGCATGAGGGAACTTTCTAGGATGAATTTACCATTCTATGTCTTGAAAGAGGTTTGAGTTACACAGGTGAATGTATGTGCAAAATTCATCAAATGGCACATTTAAGATTTGGCAATTCACTATATGAAAACTTTACCTCAAAAAAAAAAAAAAAAGAAAACTACTGAACTCATAATATTTTTGATGAGGTGTTTAATTACTAAAATGTATGAATGCCTATAACTTTCTTTGAAATGCATTAACATAAAGATGAATTGATGGATGAACAGAGATATTTAAAGATGGATAGGTGTATGAAATAATAAGAAATATATATTGGTTTCTGACATAGAGCTCCTAAGTCTCTTGGAATTTTTCCTGGGTGACAGAAATGTCTTTTGTTCAGATGAGAAAACTTTTGGCAGGCTCATAGATGGGGGCTGGTCATCAGAAAGACCAAGCCATGATTATAAACTTGGAACTTTCAGTTTCACCCTCCCCATTCTCTGCAAAGGAGGGAGGGGCTAGAAAAATGGATTTCATAATTGATCATGCCTACATGATGAAGCCTCCATAAAAATCCCCAAAGTATGGTATTTGGAGAGCTTTTCCAGGTTGGTGAACACATATGCATGCTGGAAAGGTAGCATATCCCAATTCCATGAGCACAGAAGTCGAACAGAAGTTGTGGGTAGCCTGGGGACCAACTACTTGCAACTGGCATCTAAAGTGGGAGTGGGGGCAGTCTTGTGGGAATGAGCCCTTAACCTGTGGGGTCTGTGCTAATGCGGGTTTAGTGTCAGAATTGAACTGAAGGACGCCCAGCTGGTGTCAGAGAATTGCTTGATGTTTTGAAAACCTACACATCTGGTGTCAGAAGTGTTATGAATGTGAGTAGAAGAGAAACCCAAGTGTTTTTCCTTTATAATAACTAGCTGATAAAAACAAATGTATAGAATCTAGGTATTAGGTATACAGATGTTTATTGTACAATTCTTTCAACTTTCCTATGTTTGAAATTTTTCATACTTTCTGAAAATTTTTCAAATAAACAGCTACATGTGCACTTTAAAAACACAACCATTTAAGAACTACCAGTTTTTAAAAAAATAATATAAAAACTATCTCCCCCTAAAGTACTGTTTCTGAGAAAAAAAGAAAAAAATATGACCTCACTGGTGTTTAGGTTTGGGGACCTGTAGACCAATGGAAATTTGCTTACCAATGTGTATACTGGTTAGCTTGATTATTTTGCCACGGGTCTAGGTTTGGTTGGATGAAAAAATAAAGTATTAGAAATCCAAAAGTTATTAACTTTGGAATGCAAGTGATGATTTTCCTCCTAGAAAACTTCCTTTCCTTATTTAGGTTTCCTTGAAATACATTAAAAATTAGTTTCCTAAAGGGAACAAAATGGCTGTTATAGGAATGAGAAAACAACTATAATGAGAGATTAGCTTGTTTTTCTGAGCCCAGAATTATTAAAAGATAAGGTAAATGTAAAGCAATGTCTGGTTTCCAAGGAAAAGCCAGTCTTATATTTTAAATTTACTGCAGAAAAGTCCCAAAGAAGGCAAGGTATATGTGAGTAATCCAGAGTAAATGATGGGGCCTGGAGAGAGGGGGAGTTAAAAATGAATCCTACTTTAAGTGAAATCTAAACAAGGATGACTCAGTAATGAACAGTATCAATATCAGGGTTGAAAGACTTTCCAGCATCGATAAAGCCGGAAGGACCTTAATTCTACAGTGAAAAAGAGCCGCTGTAGACCATAGAAAGGACTACATGTTACAGAAAGAAATCAAATGTAAGAAAGAATTTCCCTCTCCCTAAGGGTTAGTCCTACTGTGATGTAAAACCACTGCTACAAAAGAAAGAGTATTATTTTACAACAGATTTTTATTATCTCCAAGATCTGTAGGTTGGAAGATCATTAAGCAACATTTTTTTTTCTTTTTAAAAATTTAACCATTTTGGAGGAAATATCTTTAAAGCTTTAGAGGATTATAAATTTCCTATAAAGAGAATATAATTTAACACGTTTAATAAAGATTCAAGATTATATTAGTTTTGTTCTAATGCAGCAAATGATAAAACCCATAGAGCTATGAAGCACACTCTCTTCTACATTATATAGTCCTCAACAATTTTGCTTCTTATTTTTTTATGTTTTTAGCTGTCCTTTACCTTGCTGTTGGCTTAAACTTCTTACTATTATCAATATCTTGGCCTATGCCATCCTTTCTTTCCAGTTCTAATGTGTCATAGGCATAGCAATCAAATAGAATTCTGTGTAGAATAATGCTCAAGGCATTTGTATAAGAGGGTTTTTAGGAAAGAAGCTTTATGAGATCTGTTTTGGGTATTCAGAGTTTTTTTGTTTTTTCCAGACAACTACCTGGTTGTCACCATTGCTTTTGATAGGTAAAAGATATCAAAAAATGTAAATTGAGCATTTGTAAAATACAAATCTTATCTATGAAATGTTATTATAACATTTTGTAATTTCTCGAAAGGCACTTAGCCTTTTTTGGATTATATCACAAAATAAATATATTAAAAGGTTTTTAGTAGATATTATCTTTTTGTTTTCATAGCATCTGGCATATAAGACGCATGCTGGAAAAGCTCACTACATTGGACTGATACGTTACATGGAGCTCATACACCTCTTGCCAGTAGTTCTTGAGCTTAAATGAGAATAAAAATCACTGGGAGAATTTTTAGGTTTTAAACTATAGATTTTCATTGTGAGTGAGTTTTGGGGCTGAAGAAAAGGTTGTACTTTAAACGAACATTGCAGGAGACTCTGATGAAGATGGTTTGTAGACAACTCTTTGGTAACACTGCCCTCTGCAATCTGTGGGATATAATAGCCTTAAGTGTAAAGATCAGAGCTAAGATGGAAAGTAGGAAGTAGAAAACAAGAGTTCAAAAAGCCTGGAAAATATGGTAAAGATAAAAAATTCATGAAAGTCACAGAAATATCTGGGTCAGTGACGAGGTGTTCATTAACTGGGTGAAGACAAGCAGGGAACAGCCAACAAGGATGTTAATGATGGCATAGGGGAAAAAAGGGCTAGGGAAAAAGACACATGTTAAGAGATGCCTGGGAAATCCATAAAGTCAAGTTTGCTACATGTAGAGCTATTCCTGAACTAAGCAGACAGAGACTAACAGAAAGAACCACCTAAACCCCAATTATAGTATAAACCGAGGCCTTGCTAAAGTTAAGTATGAGGGGTACACTTGTAATCACCTGCTTGTTTGTGGATTGTGCTGTTGATCTCTGTACACATAAGACTTTTTAGCACTGTTTCATAAAGTGAGAAAGTCTAGAAACAATGGTAAAAGTATTGACACATAAAATCCCTATCCAGGTTGGCCCAATGCTGCTCCATGCCTTAAATGCCTTTAATGAGTCACTCTTCCCCAGAACAAGTCAGGTTCTCCCCACAAAGAGACTGTACTAGAGATCCAGCTTTGCAGAGAGACTGTACTAGAGATCCAGCTTTGCAGAGAGACTGTTCTTTCTGAGCTCTCTGCTCAACCCTCTCTACTTCGTCCTCTCTTCTCTCCATTTTCCTGGCCATTGCTACTGCTGTACATCTACCATTTTGTCATCAGTTTCTCCTGAACTCAGTGTACCATCAGCCTCTTTCAGCTTTTGACCTCGTTTCCCTTACAGAGTTGAGGCTCAGAGTAATAATGCCCATTCAAAGGCAGCAAGCAGACTCAGGAACCCCATCCTTCCGTGTAATGTCACTGCACACAGCCCACCTGATGGGTCACAGGCAGGCATAATGATTGAAGTGAAATATAATACTCTTCTCCTGCTCCCTCCACCCCTGACCACCTAGGAGATGATAGTGAAGAACTACTTGTGTAGGAAAATTACCTGGAAGCTTTTTGTTTGAGACTTACCTTAGGCCTATTTTGCCATAATTTCATAAGAGTGATTCATCTGAAACTACAAACCACTTCCACGATAACTATGGGTGGTAACCCAAACTTACCAGCGTAAGTTGGTTGATTAACATTTCCACCTTTTTTAATACAATGATGAACAAGATCAGCATCATTGGACAGAGCAGCCTTATACAGTAAGTTCTCTCCAAAAATATTTCTCCGGTTAATGCTAGAAAGAGATATTTTATTCATCTTCATTTTATCTGAAATAAGGGAAGGAATGAAAGAAAACAAACAAACAAAAATAATGCTTATTTGCAAATCAGGAGGAATATAGATAACAGGGTGAATCCAGTCAACATTCTGGAATAGAGGTATATTATACTATGAAAGAGCATTTCATTCATTTAGCCAACTATAATATCTATGTACAATGTGAGACAAATGTTAAATAGTTTGAAAATATTTGTACAAGTTATAAATCATCTAATCAGTTTTAATTCATTGAAACCCCATGACAGGTGCATACATGAGAAGATTAACAGATTTTCTTAAAAGTTCTGGTGAAAAAGACTATTTAAATCTAGAATTAGATGCTATTAAACCCAATTAAATGTTATATAATACCAAAATGTCTCATAAAACCATTAGAGAAAATCTAAGAGGTATATAAGACACAAAAATTAACCCCCATGAGACCAGAAAAGAGAATGCTAAATTTTCTCTTTGCTAAAAATAACTGTCATAAATTAAATAAAGAACTATGATCTTGATTTGTACAATAGTTTTGATTTCTTAAGCCAAGAAATACATAATTAAAATAGTTTCCCAGGTTATGTAAACCAAGTGTCACTTCTCCACTGTGACTTCTAAAATACTGAAACTGCTCATTTAGATACCCCAAATCCTGTCAATTTTTGTGGTTAATATTCATTTGGTTTCCCTGAATTTCACAACAGCTTTGATGATAACTTTTCCCATTTTGATCTAGCTAGTATGCCCCATTCTAAAATCTCACGAAGGTAACTGAGTTTACCTACTGTAGCAAATTTCTTAGTAGACCACAATTTGCCTTTTGATTCCTTCCGCTTAATTAATTCCACTGTAAAACAAACCAACTGCTGAATATTTGAAACTACCTTCCTGCATCCCAGACTTACAAGCATTTTGCTCCTAAGAGATAAACTGTATACTTACCAAAATCAATAGTCTTTAACTCCCAGACCTGTCATTGTTAGTTGTACTTGCTATTATAATTATGTGATTTATTTAAAATAACAAATTAAGAAGAATACAAAAATTTTGAATGAAAACTAAGTTGTGGAAGACATTCACTTCCAATCATGACTAAATAATGGCCATGACTTGCCCTCCCATTGCAAGCAACTTTCTTTTGATTGGTATGGAAGGCTAAATAATGCTCCTCCAAAGATGTTCACATCTTAATCCCTAGAACCTGAGAATGTTACATTACATAGCAAAAGGGATTTTGCAGATGTGGTTAAGTTAAGGATCTTGGGAAGAGAAGAGGGAAGCAAAAAGATCAAAAGGGGAGAAGGCAATGTGACAATGGAAGCAAAGACTAGGCCAATGTGGCCAGGAGCAAAAGAATGCCACAGCCTCTAGAAGCTGGAAGAGGTAAGAAACAGATTATTCCTCTGGAGCCTACAGAAGGAACCAGTTCTGCTGACATCTTGATTTTAACAACTTAATTTTCATTTGGACTTCAGACCTCAGGACTGGAAGAGAATAAATTTGTGTTGTTTTAAGTCATTAAATTTGTGGTAAATTGTTACCACAATAGAAAACTAATACAACTAACATTAGCAAAGTATATTTTTCCTCATTATCCTTTTTAAAATAATTTTTTATTTTTCAATAATAGTTGACATGTGATATTAGTTTCAGATGTACAACATAGTAATTAGACATTTATAATAAACTCATGAAGTGATCACCTGGATAAATCTAGTAGCCATCTGACACCATACACAGTTTTTACAATATTATTGACTATATTCCATATGCTATACTTTACATCCCCATGACTATTTCATAACTTCCAATTTGTACTTCTTAATCCCTTCCCCTTTTTCACCCATTCCCCCAACTCCCTACCCATCTGGCAATCATCAAAATGTTCTCTGTATCTATGAGTTTGTTTCTGTTTTGTTTGTTTTACTTTTTAGATTCCATATGTAAGTAAAATCGAATGGCACTGGTCCTTCTCTGTCTGACTTATTTCACTTATATAATACTCTATAGGTCCATCCATGTTGCTGCAGATGGCAAAATTTCATTCTTTTTTATGGCTGAGTTATATTCCATTGTATATATGTACCACTTCTTTATCTATTCATCTCTTGATGAACACTTAGGTTGCTTCCATGTCTTGGCTATTCTAAATAATGCTGCATGAATATATGGATGCATATGTCTTTTTGAATTAGTTTTGGGTTTCCTTGGGTAAATATCCAGAGGTGGGATTACTGGGTCCTTCTTTGTTTCATTATAGCCTTTGTTTTAAAGTCTATTTTATCTGGTATAAGTACTGCTACCCCAGCTTTCTTTTTTTCCATTTCCATTTTCACGAAATATCTTATTCCATCCCTTTACTTTCAGTCTGTGTGTCTTTTCAATCTGAAGTGAGTCTCTTGTAGGCAGCATATGTAAGGATTTTGTGTTCTTATCCATTCAGCCATCCTGTATCTTTTGATTGAAGCATTTAAATCATTCACATTTAAAGTAATTGTTGGTAAATACATAGTTATTTCCATTTTATTATTCATATTTTTGTTTTC